GAACAAATTCTAATTCCTTTAAAGAACAACCAATATAAAATCAATCGTATTTATAAAGCCCTTTTTACATCAGATGTGCTATACAGCAGAGGTGTGGACTCGAGTCATGTGACTTGGACTCGAGTCAGACTCGAGTCATGAATTTGATGACTTCAGACTCGACTCGACAAAATGTACAAAGACTTGCAACTCGACTTGGACTTTAACATCAATGACTCGTGACTTCACTTGGACTTGCGCCTTATGACTCGAGAAGACTTGCTACTTCCCATGAAAACTGGGGAAAAACATTTTCACACGGCCGCGCCGCTCTCCGTTTATCTGCATCTGTGAAAAAAATTTGCACCATCCACCTGTATGCATACAGAGAGCGCGCGCTGCCTGCACGTTATCCAATCACTGTAGTCCCACGTTGTTTTGATTCGACAGCATCTAAGCAGGCACATTGCAAGACAACCAATGAAGCAACAACGCGCCAGTTGTCAAAATGATACCGAAGATAGTTTGGTTTGGCTATAAAAATTACGAGGTAGTCGACAAAAAACGAGTTGCAATCTGCAAAACATGCGGATCGAAGATTACAGACGGAGCTGCCACAACGTCCAACTTTGTTCGACACCTGAAGTTGCACAAAGAAAGGTAAGTTTTGAACGAATGCTACGCACCTTATCGGATGTACCGTAACTTACTAGCTAGCTGCTGCATATTTACTGTATCAACGAGACAAACGCACGTCTCCCTTGCTGGTTCATGCTTACAAAAATATGGATTTTTGAACTGCTATTATATGGACATTCTAAAACGCTTTCGTGAAAAACGCTTAACGTTCTTTAATGTACTAAGACAGTGTTATTAAAAGACCAAACTCTGTAAATATCATATTAATAAAGTATACTATGTACAAAACATCAGATGAGCCCAGAATATGAACGCAAACACGTTTAATAACACGTTGCGTTTTCCTCCCATAGAAAACTATTATAAGAAAAGGCTTAACGTGTCTTAATATACTGAGACAGTAATATTAAAAGACCAAACTATAAATATCATATTAATAAAGTATACTAAATGTACAAAACATCAGATGAGGCCAGAATATGAACGCAAACACGTTTAACAACACGTTAAGTGTTTTCCTCCCATAGAAAACCATTATAAGAAAAGGCTTAACATGTCTTATGTAGGCTACTATGTATTCTGGGCTCATCTGATGTTTTGTACATAGTATGCTTTATTAATATGATATTTGCAGAGTTTGGTCTTATAATATTACTGTCTTAGTATATTAAGCATTAAGCAACGTTAAGCGTTTTTCACGTTAAGCGTTTTAGAATTCAGTTTCAGAGTTGCTGGTGTGCTGCCTCATTGAGGTCGTTTATGTAATTTTGGTTAATCACAACTAAGCTGAACTGTCGCTGAAGACAAAATATCACAATTAAACAATGAATGCACCCCCTTTCACAACTCGGATGTAGTTGGTGCATCCCTAAACCCATCCAAGTACAACAGGAAACATAGTAAGACGTATACATTGTAAAGAGGAAAATGATAACACAGTCACAGTAGATCCACCATTAGCCTTCCCTTTTCATATCATGCCCAAACAGCAGACAGCGCATGGACAGAGTGCTACCGTAGTCTACAGTAGGTCTGTGAGGCAGCGCACCACTGGGATATATACAGTATATAATAAAATAATAACGATTATAGTAGTAATGTTCAGAGATGCAATAGATTATTATAGTGCAGTTCTTAACTAATGGGAATATTGTTTAGCTTATTTTTGGTTTAATTTGGTTTACTTTAGTTATTTAATTTATTCAATTATTTTGTTTTTCTATACTTTTCATGCCAACTTGCCATGGCCCCCCTAGAACCCCCTCGCGGCACCCAAGGGTCCCCGTCCCCACTTTGAAAACCACTGCTATAAAGCATATGACTTCAGTTTCTTGAGGGAAAGGGCTTTCTTATGAATTTTGAAGCAGTGAAAATATTCTTAATATTGCATACACTGACACTGAAATGTATTATCGTAAACCGTAGTGTACAATAGGCAATGAATATTAACACAACAACATTGATATGAGTAAAGAGTAGTTTCAAATACAACATGTGTGGCTGTAAAGGATTTTCTGACATCTGTTTCATATTCTTCTCTGTTACAGGTATGAAGAATACCAGATGAACAAAATCATCGTAGATGAACCACAACAGCCTTCAATCTCACAATTCCTTGACACTCGTGTAGGGCGTTACAGCCTGACCCACCCACAGCAGAAGGCCATCTCCAATGCGATACTGTCTGACTTGATTATTGATTGCAATTTCCCTCTGTCTATTGTGGAAAATAAGAGCTTTCGTCACTTTCTGGCTGTGCTGGACAGCAAGTATACCCCAGTATGTCGCCGAACGCTGACCACTAAAACAGAGAGCCTTGCTGAGGAGAGACGGTCAAAGTTAAAAACTCAATTGAGCAACACTGACCATGTTTCAGTCACTGTGGACATTTGGTCTGATCGAAAGATGAGGGGATTCCTTGGTGTCACTGTGCACTGGATGGAGCGAGATGCAGAGAGGGTACAGCTAAAGACTAATCTCTTGGCCTGCAACCGCTTCAAAGGCTCTCACACAGCAGAGCGAATCTGTGACCAATTTGAGGCAATATGTGATGAATACAACATCAAAGCTAAATTGGACTATATAATTAGTGACAATGCTGCTAACATGCGCAAGGCATTTACAGTCTGCTTCCCCAGCGAACAGGAGGAAGATGAAGATGCTGGAGATAATCTTGATGATCCTGAGCTATGGCATGACTTAACCCAAGAAGACCAGCAAACCGTCGATGCTGCTATGGCAAAGAAACAGCGCCTGCAGTGTTTTGCACACACATTGCAGCTGGTTGTGGGAGACGGTTTGAAAGAAACAAAAGCGGCATGTCCTTCTCTCTCCAAGTTATCAAAACTTAGCTCCCTGCTCCACACAAGCACAACGTTTAAAGACATCTTCGATGGTGAATTTGGGGAGCACAGAGGCATCCCTGCTGCAGTGAGCACGAGGTGGAATTCCACACTGCGGCAGGTAAAAGCAGTCCTTCATTGTGATCAGCAAAAGCTCTGCGCAGTTCTTGAGAAGGCCGGGCATAAAGAACTGTCATTCACACCACGAGAGTGGAATCTGCTGAAGGAGTTGGTGGACATCTTAAAACCGTTCGGAGAAGCAACTGATTTGACACAGGGGGAGAAAGTCATTACAATCAGTGCAGTTGTTCCATCCATCTTGTCCCTCAATCACCATCTTGAGAAGCTGAAGCCTCAAGTTCGTTTCCTGAGTGGCCTGGTCAGAGGTCTGCAGGCATCCCTGAAAAAAAGATTTCTTGGGATCTTCATTAATGTAAAAATGGCCCAGTCTCAAGAAGGGATCACTGCCCCCTTTTCAGACACAGTCTACCTGAAAGCAGCTGCCTTGGATCCAGCCTTTTGTCTGCTGTGGATTGAGCCCCATGTGCTGGTCAACCGTGACATCAAGGCAGAGGTGGCACAACGAGTTAAAGGTAAATATTATTGACTTGCAATGCAACTTAAATGCAACGTACAATAATTTGATCTTAATCTGATATAGGATCTAATGTGATATTAATCTGACTTTAACAATAATAAAAAATTTCAGTCTTGAACAGTATCATCAACATCAGAAATAAGGGCTCTTTTGTTTCTGCTGTTGTGACACGTTTTTATTTTTATTTTTAGAATTGATCCTGCAAGATGCTGCAGAGACAGAGCAGCCTGTGCCGGTGCCTGCTGAAGAAGAACTAGAGGACATGGAAGGAGAAGGGCTGTTTGCTGCATACCATAAGAGGCAGAAAAGGGATGTTGGGACCCCACCAGCAGTACAGCTAAGTCACTACATTGACATGGCAGAAGGACAGAATGCCCTTTTGTTCTGGGCACTGAACAGTAAGACTCTTCCTTCACTCTTTCAAGTAGCCATCCGAGTCTTGGCAGTGCCTGCTTCTAGTGCTCCAGTGGAGCGAGTTTTCAGCCATGGTGGCATCATTCTGCGTCCCCATCGTGCACAAATGACTGACAGACTTTTGGCCAATTTGATCTTTTGCAAATGCAATGCAGTATAGGGGCCTCCCTCCACCTGTCCACAGCACGCATGCGCGCACACACACTCACTCTCTGCTCATCACCTGTCCACACAGCTCTCTCTCTCCTGTGGTAGGAGTTTCACATGGAGTAAGATCTGTTCATTTGCAGTGCAGGTTCCCACACTGTTTTTACTTCCAGAGCTTTGGTGTTTGTCCTTCCCCGTAAACAATTTTCTCTCTCTCTCTCTCTCTCTCTCTCTCTCTCTCTCTCTCTCTCTCTGCATTGTTCTAGTGCAATATGCTGTTCAAATACAAGCATTTTTTTTGTGAAAATTAAATGTTATGTTTTTTGCTGTATTTGATTAATGTTATTGTATAAAAAGGTTTAAATAAATACAAATCTTACAGACATACATGATTTGTATACATTTTATTTCTGTGGTAAGAGGACTTGAAATGACTCGAAACTAAAATGGTAGGACTTTGGACTCGACTTGAGACTTGATGGCTTTGACTTTTGACTCGACTTGGGACTTGCCTCATCTTTGACTCGGGACTCGAGGGCAAAGACTTGAGACTTACTTGTGACTTGCATAACAATGACTTTGTCCCACCTCTGCTATACAGAAACCCAGCCTAAAAACCCAAACAGCAAGCAATGAAGATGTTGAAGCACAATTGCTTTTAAAATCAATTGCTTTTTAAATCATCATGTTTAACAATTGCTTTTTAAATCATCATGTGGTGATGAGACATTCTACAAGAGTTTAATAATGTTCTTCAAAGATGTGTCCAGGAGCTTTCAGTGCCCATCTCCCTCAGTTTGACAGAGGCTTCTTCGTAAACCAGAGTTTGTCTGTGTCTGCTCTGTCAATGGAGGAACAGTCCACATCACTTCTGCCTCCCAATGGAATTGTGGTTGAGTATTGTGACTCCAAACCATCCATCCTGGCCTCCCAACCATGAGTCCCTCTCTCATGCCCTGAACCTGAACTCTTTGCTGTCTAAGGAGGCCACACAAACACCTTGGCTCACCATACCTGTGGAGAGCAAGTCCTCTACTCCCACTGAGCCAGTGCTCCTCCAGAAACCCAAACTAGCCTGCCCATTGGACCTGTCCTATGTTGATCTGACTGCCTCACAGGTTGCCTTGGAGGTCTCGCTAATCAAACCCGAGACTAACAGTCCCAAACCGATCCTTGAATCAAGCACGTTGGAGTCGACCTGGAGTCCCAAGTTCCAGTCTGCACCACTGTCCCTGGCTGAGATCTCCCTGATCTGGTCAGGAACACCCCCATATGCCAATAACACATAGGAGAACCAGAGGTCCTGGAGAGAGGCGACTATGGGTTCCAGCCTGAGCCAGACCGCAAGCTGAACAAGCCAAAGTGGGCATGTGACAGTGCTGTACTGAAAAGCTGAGGTAAGGTTCTCAGGCTCAGTAACTGCTGCTGTGTCTTGGCAAGCAAAAAGTCATTTTGGTGGAAATGGACCACACCTGGCATGCTATTTCCTAATTAAAAGTGTATGTATATTTTTTTATGGCTGGGAAACTAAGACTTCAGAGGTTGTTTAATGGCTTGTATATTGACATGTTCTCTAATTTCACCTTTACAGACAAAGGGACACAAGCAAGAAGAAGAAGTATGAAGAAAATGTTTATTTTACAATCTATTATATTAAAGTTTTGTATTTATTAAATCAACCATGCTTTGAGTATTTAGGAAATGGAACACTTTTTATTACACAGTAAATGCCTAAATGTGTCATCCTTTACCACAAAAGTAATCAATCAGATATGGAAAGCCTTATACAATATTCGTTTCACTTGTCAGATTTAGTACATGAAACAAATCTCAACTATATACATTCAGTTTGAAGGATAGGGAGTTACATTCTCTTATAGTTACTGGAAAAACGATATGGATACATCTAGATTGAGTGTGTGTATATACAAGCCCTTGAAAAATACATACAAAATTGCACACTCATTGGTTGCTAGTCATCAGAATGGGGAAAACCTGGTCTCTGTGTCAATATCATGTTCCTGTATGGGAGCGATGGGATAAATCATTTAAATATATTAATCACAATGTCAATCATTGCCTAGATCAACAAATCTTGTGTGCATATATCAGAGGGTCTGATGTTCATATGGCTCACCTGATTGAGCTTCTTGAACTCCACGACCTGGAAGAAGATGTGCTCCAGGATGTGTTTGGCATCCCTCTGGTCTTTATCCAACTTCCCCGTCACCCCCAAGATGTCCCCACACTTCCTCACGTAGAACTCTAGATCATCGTCTGTGCCTGCAGGGAGAATAAATTAAACACTTCATTAATTCAAATAAAACCTGGGGTTATCACTGACATTGTAGGAGATCAGCTAAAACAAGAATAGGATGTGGTTAAACACTTACATTTGTTGGAGAGCTGTGCCAAACGCACTTTCTCAGAAGAGAAGGTTTCATCCAGGTCAAATAGGTCAAGCATGGGGGGAGGCAGATCCCTAAAGGCAGGCGGGAAGACCTGCTCAAAGCAACCCATAGGAAAACAGACAGCTCTTGGAGGGATGGCAAATTGGTAATTTTCTACAATGATCAAGTGTGTATAGTCACATCACGAAATCCCAGTCAATAAGCTCGATTTGAATACAATCACTAATGCACATGCCATTCTCAGTTGAGTGTATAGAACCCACACAATGGTTGAGCTAGAGGAGATTGTGTAGAGCTAGAGAGGGGTGCTGAGGGGAAACTTACAGCAGGCTCCAGCTGGGGAAGGGGAGTCTCAAACTGAGGTGTGATCAGCTGGAGAGGCTCATGTTTGACATTCATCTGCTTGTAGGAACTGCAGGAGGACAAGTCAAACACGTTGTCAACAAACATACCGTACGATCAAGGACCTCAGCCACCCGAGCCACGGCCTGTTCACCCCGCTACCATCTAGAAGGCAGGTGCATCTAAGCTGGGACCGAGAGACTGAAAAACAGCTTCTATCTCCAGGCCATCAGACTGTCCTAAACTTAGTCACTCTTACTTGCCGGCTACCACCCGGTACTCAACCCTGCACCATAAAGACTGCTGCCCTATGTTCATAGTCGAACATAGGGCACTTCAATAATCTTTACATACTGTTTTACCCACTTCATTTGTATATACTGTATTCTAGTCAAGGCTCTTCCTATATAACTAATACTGTACACACCTTTTTTATTCATATACTGTCTATACACAGCATCATATACATATATATTTATATTCCGGACTCTGACATTGCTCGTTCTGATATTTCTTCATTCCTTTCTTTTATTTTGGGATTTGTGTGTATTATTAGGTATTACTGCACTGTTGGAGCTACATTTACATTTACGTCATTTAGCAGACGCTCTTATCCAGAGCGACTTACAGTTAGTGAGTGCATACATTATTTATTTATTTCATACTGGCCCCCCGTGGGAATCGAACCCACAACCCTGGCGTTGCAAACGCCATGCTCTACCAACTGAGCTACATCCCTGCTGGCCATTCCCTCCCCTACCCTGGGCGACGCTGGGCCAATTGTGCGCCGCCCCATGGGTCTCCCGGTCACGGCCAGCTACGACAGAGCCTGGATACGAACCAGGATCTCTAGTGGCACAGCTAGCACTGCGATGCAGTGCCTTAGACCACTGCGCCACTCGGGAGACACAAACATAAGCATTTTGCTGCACCTGTGATAACATCTGGAAATTATGTGTACGCGACCAATACAATTTTATTTTATTCATGATTTGAACATGCAGGCATGGCAGACAAAACAACCTGTAGCCACTTCAACTATGGCCTACTGTAGTGAAAACTGATGTCTCCAGTTTATAAAGCAGTATGTGTTCTCACCTGATGACTTGGGGTAACGTGTTTGTTGATAGTTTGAGTAGAGACATGTCAAACAGGGAGGTAAAGTCTCTTGGGTTTTCCTCTCCCTCTTGCAAGCATACTCGCAGTCGCTCAGACAGGCAGCCTGTATCTGGTAGCATGGTGTAATCTGTGATCTGAGCCAAACAGAATGAGAAGTGTCACTTCTAGTACTCAAAGGTAAAACTGCAGATCCTAAAACATGCCTTGGCTTCTCACCTCGGGGTCCTCTGCATCTATCTGGTTCAGATTAATGTTATCACCCATGAGCCACTGGAAAACAACATCCTGTATAACAAAAAGAGAAAGGGAACATTACAACCAAATGGAGTCAGTAGGGGATCAAATAGTGGATCACCAAACATTACACCATTACCATTACAGTGCTATAGGGATAACACTTTCACAACTCTTCTTGTGTTACTGTGAAGCCTCCCATCAGGAAGTCGTCAAATACCCTTTTCACACAACTGAGCAAAGCCAAAATATGCCCAGCGATGCTGTACTGCCCTGGCCTGGTTATGCACCCATTATAGTTGCTGGAACCATTCTGGAAAGGACAAAAATCTCCAAACCAGCACATTACAGTTGGGTTGGCATGATCATGTGAAAAGGGTAAAATAGCCTACATTATTGGCTCTCAAACATAACAAGCCTGAGTGTTTATAGACAGACACTCCACTCACCATTATTTTACTGTTCTCCTCTTTGTCTAGGTACTGGTCACTGAACATGTGACAGGAACCCATCACTGCCAGTTTGCCTGCCTCCTGAATTACACAAAAAAAAAACAGTTGACACAACTAGTAAATAACTGACATACTGTATCTTTGAAATACAATGTATAATCATGTTGTGGTGTTTGCAGGTCAACGGGAGCTACTCACCTTGACCTGATAGAAGGCGAGGACAGGCCTGTTGAGGGGGAAGCAGACAGACCCAGTGGAGAGAACAGCCACAGCAGGCTTCATCACACTCAGTGTAGCTCCATACGGGTACACAAATGTGAGGGCCCTGTTCAAGTACACATTAAGAATACAGGTTCAATATTTTACCAGGGGGGCACTGACAAGCCAAACTACAATCACTGTTTCATTCATTTGTTTGTTTAACAAGGGCCAACTCCTTTAGGCCAATCTGCCTGTTTGTTTATGTTTGGCATATGATGTGATTAGACATGAAACTGTGATCATCTTTCTGTTCTCTGGTAAGACTGTTGACAGTTATGAAAATGAAAACAAACATACACTTGACAATGATGACATGAAAACAGAGAAGACCTACTGTGCATTGTTCCCGGCACTTTCATCTTCGATGATCCCTGTCACCACCTTGCCTGCAGCCCGACTGATCTCTCTAAAGGATTAAAAGCAAGATGCTTGCACAGTAGCGCATGTGTCTTTCATAGCTTGTGGAACTATCAACCCCATTATCCTTTTCTGGTACATTTACTTCATTGGCATTGACAAGAACGCAATGATAAAAGCACTATTACATTGGGACAAACCAAATATCAAAATATCTAAATGGTTAATCAACTAACCTGTTCAGAACACCATTGGACACAAGTGCTTCTTTTGGATGGAAATACTTGTAGTAAACATTCCTCACGACAGCATCTTCAGTAAAAATGAGAATGAAGACAAAACACTCATCGTCAATAAAACTGACAGTGAAATATCTGGATGACAACAATCTGAGTCACAAGGTCTATTCCACTCATATAATACTCACCATTGTTGACCATTATCCCAAACTCCTCAAGGAGGAAGTTGATATTGGTGTCATACTTCATCTCCCCTCCTTCACCCAGCATCACAAGGACATCTCCTCCCCCATCCAAGTACTGCTTCAGGACCTCCAACTGAACAAGACAGAGTTAATCAATGTCTGACTCAAAACATAAACCAACCAACATACCTAACAGTGTTTAGGTTGTCACAAACATGTTCTATATTAGTGGAGTGTGTTGCTTCAGAATTGCAATGCATGGACACATCAAACTTTGATATTAAACTTTTAAATCTGTTCTTTTAATATCCTGATTACTCTGCCCAAAACTCCATTCAAAGGCATGTTCTTTGACCTCCTACAACTGACCAGCAACACACCTCAGCAGCAGTGAACTTTTCCCTGGGGCCAGCAGTAATCCACAACTTCACACCATTCAACTTCTCCAAGGAGAGCTCCTCTTTTATGCTGTGTATGAACAAACATAAAACCACATATATGAAGAGGTTACCTTATTATGATGACAAATACGTGACTACAATGTATTGTTCTTATGTAGTTACAGCAAGCAATATAGCCAGCTAGCTAGCTTCCTAACGTTACCTCTGAATCTTCCATTGTGCCCTGAGTCTCTTCTGCAGGGACTTGTAACCATTGTTGGCAGTGAACAGTTCTCTCTTGGATGCGTTAAAAACAACACTGTTGCGCTGCTCCTTCTCCATTGTATGTTAACTTCTATTTAAAGACATGTGACAAACACGTTGTTACATTATTGCATTGCGTAGCTATATGATGATCTACTCAACGTTAGCTAGCTAGCAGCTAAGTTAGCTAGCTAACTTACACAAATCGTTACTGGCGAGCAAAGTGTTGAAGGACCAATGATTTGCTGTTTCTTTGTATATTTGAACAAACTAGCTAGATCCCTAATACATATTAAAATGTTCGCGGATTTATATAAATATGATAATAATCGTTGTACGCGAAGTTAGCTGGCGAGCTAAATACCTCTAGAAACCATCTTCCAGTGGCTCAAAATGGCGCATTGTGGGTACAAAACTGATCCACAAGAGTAACCATGGGCGCTACCTGCATAGCAACGGGAGAGGGGATCACAGACATAGGTATAAAACATATCGATAGTGAAGTGTTATATGATTTAAGCAGAAAGGGTAGAAACCCATAGCAACCTTTCCCACTTTTGTTGCCGATTTACACGTAAACATTATGGACATTGTTGAATTCGATGTTCATAATGGCAAGCTAAGACTGATGGTTTGGCTAGCTAAACTAGCAAGTCTGTTTGTAGCTATCTAGTAAACGTGCTAGGTACTTCAGTGGATGTTGAACACATTTATACCGGAAAATGAACTCATTTCTAACGTTAAATGTGTTATAGACATGGTATAAAAGGAATAATCAAGGTGGGGCTCTATGCGTTCTCTGGAAAATAATGCAACTCCGCTAGCGCGTCGTTCAACACACCTTCCACGTCGAATGTTTTTTCTTCTTCTAAAAGTTGCCGGGATGTCACATGTTCTACTTATATCAGTACACTCCTAACAACTCAAGCATTACGAAACGTATATTTCTATTCTATCAAATAAACCTCACGTAGCAAATAAGCCATTCGTCTTTTTGTTGCCCAAATTCGAAACTCTCATTGCCCTCCATAAAAAAACGAATTGCTTGGTGGGCGAAACAACGAAAAAACGCCACCTGCTGGAGGGATACATGTTCCACCGAGTTCTTCTTCGGTGGGGTTTATCGGCGGTTGGCATCCAACGTTATGGTGCATTACCGCCACCTACTGTACTGGAGTGTGGGCCAGAGACAGGGAGAAACTAAATCCCCCGCTGCCAGCCCTGTTGCTCTTAAAAAAGATAAGAAAATATGATGACATTCTACTCAATATACTATTTAAACTCATTTCCTGTATCCCCTTCTCCCTCATACTAGATCTCAGCCTCTCTCTTTCCCTCTGATACTGCCCACACTGTAGCAATACATGCTCCACTGTCTCTTTTTCCTGCCAATAATCACACTTTCCGGTTGGATGCTTTCCTTTTATTAAAATCCATATTAATCACATTTAAAGTCTTATTTAACCAGCTGTGTCCCATCTTTCTGCCTAGTTGGGCCTCTCTCTTCTTATTATTTTATTGGCAAATCACAACCAACTGGCAGGTGCATACACAGCCACCTACTGTACTGGAGTGTGAGGCTGGTCACGACCTATCTATACCACTATATTCTCTTAATTAACCCTGAATTTCTAATAAAATAAAATAATTCCCTACAAACTTCACTACTCCCATCACCCAAAATACCACCCACTCCCCAATCCCGTTCAACCTATCTGACTCTGTCAAACAACCTCTCCCTGTCTACATCATACATTCCACAAAAGAATAATACATTCAACCATTTCCTCAACCATACAGCCATTACACATTCCAGTACCATGTTTCCCTATCAATTTCAAAGAGGAATTCAATCGTGTATGCCCTAATCTCATCCTACTTAACATAACTTCCTCCCCTCTGTTCCCATCATATGACACTATCTCCCATATAGATTTCCTTGTGCTATAAATGGGGGTGCCACAGGGTTCAATTATTGGGCCGACACTTTTCTCCGTGTATATCAATGATGTCGCTCTTGCTGCTGGTGACTCTCAGATCCACCTCTACGCAGACAACACCATTTTGTATACATCTGGCCCTTCATTGGACACTGTGTTAACAAACCTCCAAACGAGCTTCAATGCCATACAACACTCCTTCAGTAGCCTCCAACTGCTCTTAAACACTAGTAAAACTAAATGCATGCTTTTCAATCGAACGCTGCTGGCATCCGCCCACCCGACTAGAATCACCACTCTCGACGGGTCTGACCTAGAGTATGTGGACAACTACAAATACCTAGGTGTCTGGTTAGACTGTAAACTCTCCTTCCAGACTCACATTAAGAATCTCCAATCCAAAGTTAAATTTAGAATTTGCTTCCTATTTCGCAACAAAGCCTCCTTCACTCATGCTGCCAAACATGCCCTCGTAAAACTGACTATCCTACCGATCCTTGACTTCGGCGATGTCATTTACAAAATAGCCTCCAACACTCTACTCAGCAAATTGGATGTAGTCTATCACAGTGCCATCCGTTTTGTCTCCAAAGCCCCATACACTACCCACCACTGTGACCTGTATGCTCTTGTTGGCTGGTCCTCACTACATGTTCGTCGTCAAACCCACTGGCTCCAGGCCATCTATAAATCACTGCTAGGCAAATCCCTGCCTTATCTTAGCTCATTGGTCACCATAGCAACACCCACCCGTAGTATGCGCTCCAGCAGGTATATCTCACTGGTCATTCCCAAAGCCAACACCTCCTTTGGCCGCCATTCCTTCCAGTTCTCTGCTGCCAATGATTGGAACGAATTGCAAAAATCTCTGAAGCTGGAGACTCTTATCTCCCTCACTAACTTTAAGCATCAGTTGTCAGAGCACCTTACCGATCACTGCACCTGTACACAGCCCATCTGAAATTAGCCCACCCAACTACCTCATCCCTATATTGTTATTTATTTTGCTCTTTTGCACCCCAGTATCTCTATTTGCACATAATCTCTTGCACATCTAGCATTCCAGTGTTAATACTAATTGTAATTATTTTGCACTATAGCCTATTTATTGCCTTACCTCCATAACTTGCTACATTTGCACACACTGTATATATATTTTCTGTTGTATTTTTTACTTTATGTTTTTTTACCCCATATGTAACTCTGTGTTGTTGTTTTTATCGCACTGCTTTGCTTTATCTTTGCCAGGTCGCAGTTGTAAATGAGAACTTGTTCTCAACTGGCTTACCTGGTTAAATAAAGGTGAAATAAATAAAAAAAAATTAAAAAAAATGTCTGCCCTTAGTACTTTCATCCCAGTGTCTCTGCCAGCAACCTAACCCATTTTTCCAAATCAATGTTTTAATTTCCCCTCTACCCAACTGCACCTGTATATCCACAATATTATTTTTCACTGCTTTTTTTGCTATTATATCTACTACATCATTTCCATAAACTCCTGTATGAGCCTGAATCCAACAGAACTGAATTTCAATACCATTTCTTTGTAAGCCCAACAACAGCATCATTATTTCAAACCATAAATCCTGACGTTCTGACTTTCCAGATCTTAAACTACACAAAACTGATGCAGTGTCCGAACATATTACTACTCTTCTTGGTTGTACCTCCTCTATCCATTGAAATCCAATAATTATCGCAACCATTTCTGTTGAATATACAGATAAATCATGTGTTAGTCTCTTGCATAGATTAACATCGAACTCAGGAATAAACACTCCTGCTCCTGTCATCCCATTCATGGGATCCTTTGAACCATCTGTATACACTGCAAGGCAAGAATAAAACGAATTACTAATATATTGATCCACTATTGTTTCTACATTATCTTCTTCACACCACTGTTTCTTTTCTTTGATCAGGCTAAGACCAACATGTGGTCTTGTATAAAACCACGCCTCTTCCTCTCTGTAAGCAGTCAGTCTGTAACATCAGCCAGGAAAGGACACCGGCTCATGCCGTGTTCAAAACAACTGGGAACTCGGAACTCTCCGACTTTGAACGGTCATCCAACTCGGAATTCAAACTTGTGAACTCGGGCCTTTTTGTAGAGCTCCGACTTTCTGACCTGAAAATCACTGACGTCATGATTTGACCTCATATTTTTCAAATTTACCAGTTGTCTTGAATGCACCAGTAGCCTAATCCACCAGGTACATTTATGTCAGGGGAGAACAACTGCTCCCTCTCATTGACGCCACGAAGATCAAGGTTGACCACGGTCCTGCAGGCAATGTTTGCAGAAAACAGGATCCCCCATTATACTGGAGGGGGAAATGGCAATCTTCGTGGTCAAGCTTTGTGTAAATAAATACACATTTCGAAGACAATCATGGTACCAATAATTGCTAATATTACACCTAATGTATATCCTGCTAGAGCTGCCCCAGTCAACTGTAAGTGCTGTTATTGTGAAGTGGAAACGTCTAGGAGGAACAACGGCTCAGCCGTAAAGCTTGCCACCATTGGACTCTGGAGCAGTGGAAACGTGTTCTCTGGAGTGATGAATCACGCTTCACCATCTGGCAGTCCGACAGAAGAATCTGGTTTTGGCAGATGCCAGGAGAACGCTACCTGCCCGAAAGCATAGTGCCAACTTTAAAGTTTGGTAGAGGAGGAATAATGGTCTGGGGCTGTTTTTCATGGTTCGGGCTAGGCCCCTTAGTTCCAGTGAAGGGAAAGCTTAACGCTACAGCAAACAATGACATTCTAGACGATTCTGTGCTTCCAACTTTGTGGCAACAGTTTGGGGAAGTCCCTTTCCTGTTCCAGCATGACAATGCCCACGTGCACAAAGCGAGGTCCATACAGAAATGGTTTGTCGAGATCGGTGTGGAAGAACTTGACTGGCCTGCACAGAGCCCTGACCTCAACCCCATCGAACACCTTTGGGATGAATTAGAACTCCAACTGCGAACCAGGCCTAATCGCCCAACATCAGTGTCCGACCTCACTAATGCTGAATGGAAGCAAGTCCCCGCAGCAATGTTCCAACATCTAGTGGAAAGCCTTCCCAGAAGAGTGGAGACTGTTATAGCAGGAAAGGGGGGACCAACTCCATATTAATGCCCATGATTTTGGAATGAGATGTTCGACAAGCAGGTGTCCACATACTTTTGGTCATGTAGTGTATTTGCAACTGCTCGACTAAAAAAATCTTGGTCGACCAACAGCCTATCGACCAAACAATCGACAAGTCGACTAAATGGGGTCAGCCCAAAAGGTAACACTCATCTATTGTTACCATCGGTGCATTTCTCACAAAAAACCTGCCGACCTGCCTTAAAAGCCAATGGGACTGTCGTCAAATGCTTTTAGCTCTTGCTTTTTTACTCAATGTATTGATGAATTTCATCATCTACAATACTTCGTAAACTCAATGTGCAATCAATTGTTATTTGATTGCTTCCTTCCAAAATGTGTATTTGACACAGTTTAATATTGTCTCAAAACAGGGAAACCTAGGTTTGTCCTCTGCTGGGTGCTCACTTGGATTTATGCCAAGCTTTGACTCAGTGCCAATGCCTAATCACTACTTGATGACTTTATTGTATCACTATGATAACACTATGATGTCCAATGTGTAAGATAAGTGTGAGACATTTCATCTCCTGTATTTGCTCTAGTTTCCCTTACATCTATCATAAACACGGGTAACAACTCAGGGGAGTGTTTTGAGCAGCTTCTTCTGGCAAGAGTCAGCAGAGGAAACTGGATCTAGTACAGTTTCTGAACCCTCTAGGGAGGAGATCACTGAGGTCAGGGAAGTGCTATCAGTTGGAATCAGACGAATCTCTACTTGCGACCATTGGGGCAATGCTCTACAACGTTGGGTTCATGCCGCAGGAAGGACGTGTTGATGAAGGAATGTCCACGGCTTGTTCCAGGACAACTTCTTCAACTAGCACCACTTTCTCAATTGATGAGACCCAGAAGACTGTCGCTACTATGACCACTTCTGGAAGTGACAGGGGTATTAGCATTATCACTACCCCAGAAACCCCACTGCAGAGTCTGCACCACCAGGAAGGTGGACTGGACAGCCCTTTCTCCTCAGAGAAAAGAGTGGCTGAAAGTAGCAGAAACAGCCCTGCAACTTGGTCAGATGCAGAAGGATTAAGTACTACAGAAAAGGCTGTGTTGGAGCTAAAGGAGAGGATGGTGCTTAGCCGGGAGGATACAGCATCGGCAGAGAGGAGCCTGGAGATCCTCCTCTCCTGTGGCATTCTCCGTCCTCACACTGACAATTTAGTCGACCAACTGCGCAACCTTTTGATGGTGAACAGCACCATCTGTTTCCGGCAGGTTAAAATCTGAATCTGCTCTGATGAAGTCCAAAGTAACAGGGGGAACTCCAAAAGAAGATCTCAAGGGAGGGTTTTCTAGAGATGGCATATGCTCTCACCGAGAGATCTACACTGAATGAAAATATAAATGCAACATGTAAAGTGTTGGTCCCATGTTTCATGAGCTGAAATAAAAGATCCCAGAAATGTTCCATATGCACAAAAAGCTTATTTCTCTCAAATGTTATGCACAAATTAGTTTACGTCCCTGTTAGTGAGCATTGCTTGTATACTCTAAAATATGCAGTTTTGTCACACAACACAATCCCACAGATGTCTCAAGTTTTGAGGGAGTGTGCAATTGGCATGCTGACTGCAGGAATGTCCACCAGAGCTGTTGCCAACATCGTTTTAGAGAATTTGGCAGTACGTCCAACCGGCCTGACAACCGCAGACCATGTGTAACCACTCCAGCCCAGGACCTCCACATCCGGCTTCTTCACCTGAGGAGTATTTCTGTCTGTAATAAAGCTCTTTTGTGGGTAAAAATGTATTCTGATTGGCTGGGCCTGGCTCCCCAGTGGGTAGGCCTGGCTGCCAAGTGGGTGTGCCCCTCCCAGGCCCACCCATGGCTGCACCCCTGCCCAGTCATGTGAAATCCATAGATTATGGCCTAATTTATGTATTTCAATTGACTGATTTCCTTATATGAACTGTAACTCAGTAAAATCTTTGAAATTATTGCATGTTGCATTCATATTTTTGTTCAGTATATAAGGCTCAAATATTAATGTGTCGGGGAGATCTATGCATAGCTAGTTATTTGTCAATTAAGCTATTCTTATAATATTTTTTAACGTTGTCGCAATTACATGGCTACTGTTTAATAGAAGGGAATTCCAGCTTTCCAATGGTGCAGATTTATTTAGGCGCCACAGTGGAGGTGGAAAGCTAACAACGTAGAAGTTAGTAGGGATTTATTTGATTTTGAATTAGATTTTCACGGTAGTACAGAATTGGGAAGATCATGACTGGTCGTACATTCCAGCACAGTAGGTGGCGGCATGCACTTTAAACGTTTGTTTGCGGACCGCCATGCTATTAAAGAAGAAGAAGCAGAATTGGGGGGGGGGGGGGGAAGGAAAAAAAAGAACCGCGCGAGATAGAAACTTGAGCGCGGACTAACGTTGGTGTTGTCAGCAACCCAGAAGTGGAGTACCCAGCTCGGCGACAAATATAGTTTCATGAACGTGGATTAGATACGACAAACACAGATTTGCTCGTGGTATATAGTTTGTGAATGTATGCACGACGTGGGTGTCAAATATATACAATTGTATTTTAGCTAAGGGTTTTGGTGGTAAAACAAAGGGAAATGTCCTGGTGGTTGCGCGGGTAAGTAATCGGATTCTAACCTTGTTATTGTTAAGGTTACAGCAGCTGTTGGACAAATATCAATGTCGACTCCACATCCTATATTTTCAATAGAACAGGGATTTATGCAGCATTAATAATTTATGAGATTACTGGATGTCACTGATTATTTTTTGCACGTTTACGTGATTTGAAAGTGTTTTTGTAACGCTACCACGGGTGATGTCAGATGTTTTTAACGTCAGCTAGCCAAACATCATCAAACAATAAATGTATCTAACGAATTTTCTCATACCGGAGTAAACGGAAAGCACCGAAATGTCCGCCACAAACGTTAGTTCCCTGAATCTGTTTGTAGTATATAGCTATTGAGTCAAAATGTAATGTGTGACAATTTAGGCATGCGACCCACCCATGCCAACAACTTTTCAGGGAATAGAATGCATGCATACTAGATGTGCGGGCTGGTCAGTTTCTGTTTCAGAAAGAATGCTCTAGATAATCTCTTTGCATGGGTTTGATCTCTATCACACCCTGTTGACTGGTTGCTTGTCTTTTCAGAGAGGATGGGGAGGAGGCTATGTATCAGGACACAGACTCAGATGTGGCTGAACAGAGAGACTGTGGAAAGGTCAAAGTGAAATGGACACAAGAGGAGGTCAGTTCATGTCCCCCTGATCTATAAATGGTTGGTTATTTGCAACAAGTGGGGATGAGTTGGCTACATTGCTCATCATAAAATGGCTGTCCTTTTTTCTCAGGATGACAATCTGAAAGCATTGGTCCAAAACCTGGGACCAAATGACTGGAAACACATAGCCAGTTTTTTACTGGTGAGTTATATCGACAGATTACAGGATTTATTCTGTAATATCCAGTTGACAATACAAATAATACAACTGAAGCGTTAAAATAGGAAAGACTCCAATTTGCTGTCTGAAGGCATGTGTGGTTTCAATTGCATTAAATCATTAACTGTAAGGTAACCCTTCTGCACAGAATCATTCAGAACAACAGTGCCAGCACCGCTGGTTGAAGGTTCTGGATCCAGATCTGGTTAAAGGGCCCTGGACCAAAGAGGAGGACGAGAAGGTTAGTGGTGTGATGGCGATCATTTTACAATCACAGGGTTCGCACAAGGTGCTTAAAGTTCTTGAATTTGGCACTCTGAAATTCAAGTACTGGAATACCTTGAAAGTCAGACATTTTCTCAAGTTGGTACTTGAAAAGTACTTGAATTAAAATAAGAGGAGAACAGAAAATGATCAAATGTGTTTATGAAAAATATTAGAAAAATGTGCTGGTCTTGCAAATTGATTTCCAGGCAGACTACCCAGTTTTATTTCCTCACGTGTTTCGCACTCTGGTTGCCCGGCGAGCTCGCTCATTCCACCCACACTGCCACTCAGCCAGGCAGGTACAGAACTGACTGATTAGGCGCCACCAAACGTCACATCGACAGCTAAAATGTTGGCCAAATGAAGATTCAACCCTGCCTGTTGTGCGTATGGAGAATTTCTGGGATCTTTTATTTCAGCTCATGAATTTTTTTTTTACATGTTGTGTTTTATATTTTTGTTCATTATAGTTTACCCACCTTTTTTTTTTTTACCACTACATCACTAGACCCAATCAACCCACATCGTGTAAGGTGCAAAAAAGCGCCAGACATTGACATTGTGATCATGGCCCTGAAGAGCCACATGAAGGGAGGAAAACAACGCTGCTTCCTGCGCTGGCGCCAGTTCTACATTATATGGCTTTTTCTCTGCAACAACCTCCAGAGCTTTTTTTTACCAATCGCCTCATTCACAGGGCGCCCGCGATATTCTGCTTTATCAAGCGGCAGCCATGCTCCTGCCGTTCTGGTGGCCGTTCACATGCCGTTTTCCTCACACAGCCCACCCGCCCTTCTCCCGACTGGCCACACTAAAGATGCCAGTCGGAAGCAGGATGCTTTTTCATAGCTATTAAGTAGTAGATTCCCAAATGCCCAATAAAATTACAATACAGTCATTAAGCTGGAATTGTGTAGTAATGCGAATAGGAAATGTGTGTTCACCAGTAGGCATGTCCCAAAACTGCTCATCACTACTCAAATTACAAAATCATTAGTACTGACTTACCATTCATATATTGAGTAGAACCTGTAAGGTAGTGATGAATAGTAAGTTGATTTTTTTCATGAGGATGTGGCAATATACTGTCATCTGGTGGTGACTAGAAACAATTGCATAATAGGAACTATTACAAATTGATGGTCCTTAAATACATATTAGTACTTGGAAAAAGTACTTGAAAGACCTTGAATTTGACTTGCCACTGTCTGTACGAACCCTGCAATCAGTTCTACTAGACTTCTTCGTAACAGCAAACTTGTTGAGTTTTACCAACCGTCGTCAAGTCAGTTCTCAGAATCATGTTTATTGTCCTACAAGAGGAAAATATACCTTCCACTGGCTGCTTTAACTCCTATCTTGTACTGCAGACATAGAGCCACTCAGCTGAGCCACATTTTCAGACAACCCTCAACCCTGCATTCCTCTCCACAGGTGATACAACTGGTGAAAAGGTATGGCAACAAGCAATGGGCCATAGTGGCTAAGCACCTGAAGGGCCGGCTGGGGAAGCAGTGCAGGGAACGCTGGCACAACCACCTCAACCCGGATGTGAAGAAGTCCTCCTGGACAACAGAGGAAGACCTCGTTATCTACAAGGCCCACTGCATGCTGGGAAACCGCTGGGCTGAGATTGCCAAACTGCTGCCCGGAAGGTAACTGTCTTGACTGGTACTCCAGCTAAGAGAATCCCTCTATCATGTCTGTGCTGAAATATCAGGATCACTCAGAACAGCTTATTGGTCTCCACATATTTTGTGATAAATGCAATTTTTATGGATTGGAGACATTTAGGGACAGCATTTTGTTCCACGTCATTAGTTCACCTTCATACTCTACATCTTGATTACTACAACATTATGTTCAAATTTCCCCTTACAGGACAGATAATGCTGTGAAGAACCGCTGGAACTCAACCATCAAGCGTAGGGTTGAGATGGGCTTCTTTAGTGGGGTGGATCCTACTCTGAAGCATCATCGTGTGGAAGCAGAGGAGGGCATGAACCACCACAGTAAAGATCAGCAGGTAGGTTCTGCTTGAAATCAGTTTGACAACATCTGTGCAATGCTCACCGTAATCCTCAATTGAATGTTGTGCTGTGAAACATGATTTATTATGTCTCTACAGATGGACTATGATGGTTCTATGGAGAGGGATCCAGACCAAGACACCACACTGCTGGTAAGAATTCAAACACTGGATGCCGGCCACCTTCTATGTGGGGAAAAAGCAGATAAACTGTAGTGTTTTTTGTGATAAATATATAGTGCAGTAGATACAGAGCATGTTAAAATATCACCAACCTATACTATTCTTCAAGGTAGAACACATTGTTCTGCTAGCTGTTTGTGTTCATTCAAATTCAGTTCATCTTTACTTCTCTCTCATACTGATTTTCAAACTTATGTTGACCCCTACAGGAGAATTCCAGTACATCCACTGTGAGAGGCGGACCAAGGGAAGCAGGCTCCCACAAGGCTCTCTCTCCTCAACAGTCAAAGACCCCCAAAAGTGAGCCAAACACCCCAGGAGGTGAACTGAATACCAATAGCTGGGTGGTGGACAGCTCAGGCTTCCTCTCTCCCAATGGCCCAGGCTTAAAGGAGGTGATGGAAATGGTGGTTGGGGTAAGAGTTCTGGATGGGTTGTAATACCTCAGTCTTCTTAGTTTTACCACGTTCATCTTCTACTTTGCATACATCACCAAAGAGGTTACATTTGAACAGATATGTAAAACAAGAGTAAGAGTGGATTTGGGGCAGACCTAGCTTGGAAACTTATATTACATAAACTCTTCCTTCATTTCTGTTTCTTGCCCTCCACCAGGACCAAGATGGCTGGTGCAACATGTCTGTCTTTGATCTGCCTGAGGAGAGCCAGAGCCCAGAGCGGACCCAGTTCCGTCTGGAGGGCAGCGCCCTGCAGGAGCTGAGCAAGGGCAACCGGGGAGAGCTGATCCCCATCTCCCCTGGAGGAATCACCCCACCCTTCATACTGACCCGGCGCAGCCGCCGTCGCATCGCTCTGTCCCCTGACTCCAACAACTCCAGGACCCCCAAGAGCACCCCGGTCAAGATCCTGCCCTTCTCTCCCTCACAGGTAATGGCTGGACCACCATGAACTAACACACAGTGAGATGACTCGTCAGTGCCTTTGCTTTGTACAGAATGATGTATACAAAAAATATTAGGGGGTGGATCTGTTTTAATATTGCAAATAGATTGTGGCTTCTATCAATGTAATTGTCTACCTCATTTCCAATCCCCCATATATTTTTGGATAAATATATACAGTACCAGTCAAAAGTTGATACACCTACTCATTCAAGGGTTTTTCTTTATTTTTACTATTTTCTACATTGTAGAATAATAGTGAAGACATCATGTCGTAACCCAAAAAGTGTTAAACAAATCAAAATATATTTTATATTTGAGATTCTTCAAATAGCCACCCTTTGCTTTGATGACAGCTTTGCACACTGTGCATTCTCTCAACCAGCTTCATGAGGTAGTCACCTAGAATGCATTTCAATTAACAGGTGTGCCTTCTTAAAAGTTAATTTCCTTCTTAATGTGTTTGAGCCAATCAGTTGTGTTGTGACAAGGTAGGGGGGTATACAGAAGATAGCCCTATTTGGTAAAATACCAAGTCCACATTATGGCAAGAACAGCTCAAATAAGCAAAGAGAAACGACAGTCCATCATTACTTTAATACATGAAGGTCAGTCAATACGGAACATTTCAAGAACTTTGAAAGTTTCTTCAAGTGCAGTCGCAAAAACCATCAAGCGCTATGATGAAACTGGCTCTCATGAGGACCGCCACAGGAAAGGAAGACCCAGAGTTACCTCTGCTGCAGAGGATAAGTTCATTAGAGTTACCAGCCTCAGAAATTGCAGCCCAAATAAATGCTTCACAGAGTTCAAGTAACACACACCTCAACATCAACTGTTCAGAGGATACGGTGAATCAGGCCTTCATGGTCAAATTGCTGGAAAGAAACCACTACTAAAGGACACCAATAAGAAGAAGAGACTTGCTTGGGCCAAGAAACACGAGCAATGGACATTAGACCGGTGGAAATGTGTCCTTTGGTCTGGAGTCCAAATTTGAGATTTTGAGTGAGAGACAGAATAACAACAACAAAATCCAGAAAAATGCATGTCAAAAATGTTATAAATTGATTTGCATTTTAATGAGGGAAATAAGTATTTGACCCCCTCTCAATCAGAAAGATTTCTGGCTCCCAGGTGTCTTTTATACAGGTAACGAGCTGAGATTAGGAGCACACTCTTAAAGGGAGTGCTCCTAATCTCAGTTTGTTACCTGTATAAAAGACACCTGTCCACAGAAGCAATCAATCAATCAGATTCCAAACTCTCCACCATGGCCAAGACCAAAGAGCTATCCAAGGATGTCAGGGACAAGATTGTAGACCTACACAAGGCTGGAATGGGCTACAAGACCATCACCAAGCAGCTTGGTGAGAAGGTGACAACAGTTGGTGCGATTATTCGCAAATGGAAGAAACACAAAATAACTGTCAATCTCCCTCGGCCTGGGGCTCCATGCAAGATCTCACCTCGTGGAGTTGCAATGATCATGAGAACGGTGAGGAATCAGCCCAGAACTACACGGGAGGATCTTGTCAATGATCTCAAGGCAGCTGGGACCATAGTCACCAAGAAAACAATTGGTAACACACTACGCCGTGAAGGACTGAAATCCTGCAGCGCCCGCAAGGTCCCCCTGCTCAAGAAAGCACATATACAGGGCCGTCTGAAGTTTGCCAATGAACATCTGAATGATTCAGAGGAGAACTGGGTGAAAGTGTTGTGGTCAGATGAGACCAAAATGGAGCTCTTTGGCATCAACTCAACTCGCCGTGTTTGGAGGAGGAGGAATGCTGCCTATGACCCCAAGAACACCATCCACACCGTCAAACATGGAGGTGGAAACATTATGCTTTGGGGGTGTTTTTCTGCTAAGGGGACAGGACAACTTCACCGCATCAAAGGGACAATGGACGGGGCCATGTACTGTCAAATATTGGGTGTGAACCTCCTTCCCTCAGCCAGGGCATTGAAAATGGGTTGTGGATGGGTATTCCAGCATGACAATGACCCAAAACACACGGCCAAGGCAACAAAGGAGTGGCTCAAGAAGAAGCACATTAAGGTCCTGGAGTGGCCTAGCCAGTCTCCAGACCTTAATCCCATAGAAATTCTGTGGAGGGAGCTGAAGGTTTGAGTTGCCAAACGTCAGCCTCGAAACCTTAATGACTTGGAGAAGATCTGCAAAGAGGAGTGGAACAAAATCCCTCTGGAGATGTGTACAAACCTGGTGGCCAACTACAAGAAACGTCTGATCTCTGTGATTGCCAACAAGGGTTTTGCCACCAAGTACTAAGTCATGTTTTGCAGAGGGGTCAAATACTTATTTCCCTCATTAAAATGCAAAACAAATTTATAACCGTTTTGACATGTGTTTTTCTGGATTTTCTTGTTGTTATTCTGTCTCTCACTGTTCAAATAAACTTATAGACTGATCATTTCTTTGTCAGTGGGAAAACGTACAAAATCAGCAGGGGATCAAATACTTTTTTCCCTCACTGTATATTATTATTTCCTTTTATTATTTTCCCCTAACCCTACCACCCCTCTCCTAATTGGAGTAAACTAATGGACAGCAACACTTAGGCTTCTACTTCCAGTTTATACATACTATGTACATTTTACGGACACAGTATATAATAATATAATATGCCATTTAGCAGACGCTTTTATCCAAAGCGACTTACAGTCATGCGTGCATACATTTTTGTGTATGGGTGGTCCCGGGGATGGAACCCACTACCTTGGCGTTAAAATCGCCGTGCTCTACCAGCTGAGCTACAGAGGACCACCATATATGTTACATTAGTTATCTTTTTGTTTGGTTTTTAGTCCCATTCTTCAGCTACCCACAACCCCTCCCATCTATCTCTGAAGACCATCCAGTTTGGATTTCCATTTGCCATATATTACAGAATGATGTTGCCAAAAACACATTCTACCAATTTGTTATATCCTTCACATGAAATACCATATTTGTATTTATATGGGATGATTGCAAGTGGATGTTAGGGGTCACATTACTCTGAATATGTTTCCAGTTCCTCAACATGTGGACCAAACAGGATAACTTTGAACTGGAGAATCCATCCCTCACCTCCACCCCAGTCTGCAGTCAGAAGTCTGCGGGTACCACACCACTACACCGTGACAAGACTCCACTCACACAGAAGGAAAACTCTGTGTTTGCATCCAAGCTTTACCCAAATTCAGGGTATGTAATAAGTCATTATTGACAGACACATTTCTTGTATGTAATAAGTGATTATTAGCATGCAATATGATGACTCTTGTGGCAAAATAGAATGATATTTAGTTTATTTTCATAAAGGTTCATCACACCCAACCACAAGTCAAATCTTTACACCATCCCGCGTACTCCAACTCCATTCAAAAATGCCATGGAGAGGTATGGTCCTTTGCGACCTCTGGTGAGTCCCTCATTCGCTACAAATGTCAACGAAAGCAACTTAATTGTCTGTGTGGATAATCTATTCAATATCCCACTGAAAGCATTTTCTTTCTTCATGTCTAAGCCTCAGACTCCGAACGAGGAGGACTTGAAAGAAGTCCTCTTGAAAGAGACTGGGATTGAGCTGATAGTGACGGATGAGAGTCCACTTGAGCAACGACGCAAGCAGGTGGTGAGTATGACGAAAGATGGCAGGAGGAAGTTTACATCTAAGAAGAACCATCATTTACTTCAACCAATGCTGCTTCTCAGTATTATGAAATGGTCTGAATATGTGGTCCATTCCTTTGGTCCCAGCATCGACCTCCAATGAAGAAAGTGCGTAAATCTCTGGCCTTGGATGTCATGGACTGCAAAGAGACGGTCACTGCCAGGCATCAGTCCTTTAAGTTTGAGCCCCAACCCTGTCCTAAGGTACATTCATTAGACATGGATGGAATTCTGATGTTATTTTTGATAGTGTTGTCATTGATTTGTATTTTGTCTTGTCTTTGTTATAGGCTGAGACGTCTCTCAACTCCTCGTCCTTTTGCATGAAGAGGGAATATAAAGAGGAGAATGTTCTGGATCAGGGCTTCTGTTTAAGACCCGGTGAGAGTTGTGCATATTCCAACCCAGTGCCACCAACCCCAGTAAGTATCCGTCTGTCTTGTATCATATTTTATAATATGTATTTCCCTAATTTGTCTATTTGTATCTGAAGTTATTGATATGCGTTGTTGTGTCCTAAGATGTCCCAGGCATGGGAAGCAGTGGTATGTGGACGGACTAAGGACCAACTTATAATGACAGAGAAAGCAAGATATTACCTCCGCTCACTAAAATCCCACGCTCCCAACCAGGCCCTCATCCTGTCCTGAGCCCTCCCTCACTACCAAGTTCTCACTAATGCCGTGTTCACATGCTATCAGAGTTGGGGAAATTCCTAGTTGTGTCTGGGAAGTTTCACTTAAACAACCCTCTAAGTTGAATTACAAGTGGGAAACTGAGAAAATGTTGTGATGTTTCACCAGTGCCCATTTACCTTTTCTACCAAAAGATGACAACAAATCAGTTGACAACTACAACCTTATCAATATGGAGAATGTAGCTAGTTTGACTATATTGTCAATGTTAAGCAAGCTAGCTAAGGTTATTATTAGCAACGTAGCTAGCTTATCAAGCTTTGGTTGAATAATTGTCCTGACCAAAAAGTACATGAATGAAGTCGTATTTCCGTCATCACAAGTAAGAAATAGGAAGTTCTGACCAGCACGTGAATGTGGCTTAACGCTCTGCTGTGCAGACATTTTCATTGTGTTAAACATGCTTAACATGTTTAATGTGACTATTCCAAACTTTATTGTGTTGGTATTCTTTCATAGCAAGGTTATATGTTTGTTATATGTTTATAAAAGGTGTTGTAAAAAACATTTATAATAATAATGTCGTGCTATGTTGAGCAAGCTCAACTGAACTGAAGGAGTGTTTTCTCAGTCCTGGATACTTGTAAATATGGGAAAAAATGTTTATTGTAGGGCAACTGTATAATGTTATTTCAAGTTTTTCGAATGTAAAACTGTTTGAATCTACACACACCATTTCCTAGTAAATTTTACCACAGTCCATCAACAATTGAATAATCCACACTTGCATCACGTTTGTCTTACTCAAAAGTAATGTGTAGGTCTATCTTAATGTTTTCATTTTGATATCTCAAGCCCCCACGGGGGGCCAGTATGAAAAATAATATATGCACTAACTGTAAGTCGCTCTGGATAAGAGCGTCTGCTAAATGACTAAAATGTAAAAAAAATATATACATGTCATTTTGCACTTACATCTCAGTATTGAGTTTTGGTTGTAATTCTCTCATGCATTTGATTACCTGATCAATAATGAATGGAAACAAGTTGACTCACACAAGTGAACAGTTGTTGAGTGGTTGCTGAAATGTTTGTTTCCTATGATCTATTTTTACGTTATGTAGTCTACAAGACACTAAGGTTTATTATAGGCTACTATTTTAAGAATAAGTATTTGATGTGAATATGCATCACTGTAGAATAATCATCATACACTCAGGTTGCCCTATTCCCATGTCCAAAATTGTATAATTTTGATAAGATTATGGTGCTTTGAAATACAGGATTTTTCTGCTGAAAACAGCTAATGCTCTGCATGCAGATAACAAGATGTATGAGTAAATCATCTGTTGACTAATGTAAAAAAATAATAAATGTATGGTGCCATCTTGGAAGTTGGCTTTTATTGACCTAGTAGGTTGGTGAACTATTGATTTTCTGATAAATTATAGATGGGGCCAGATTAGGATTTTGAGAGACTGGTTTGTTTCTTGTTGAGGACCAATGAAAAACGGACACAATGCACTTTTTGTTTTGAGGGGCGGGCACAGGAGCCCGGTAACGTTTGAAAGGTACTGAAATAAAATGTGAACTTGTATTAAATGTACAATATTTGCGGATATTATACGATATTATTTTATATTTAAAACGCCAATTATTCTCACCCACATTTCAAATGGTCCAACAAACCTCTCTCTTCTGATTCCGAACAAGTTCATTCATTTGCAGGAGTTGGTTGTAACCAATTAAACGAATAGGAGTAACGACACTAGCTGTTAGATTTAACATGGAATAAAACAAAGCATCTGAGGATATGCGATTTAAACATTTTATTGTATTGTAGTGTAGTTGCACATAATACGTTATGTGAAAGGTGTTTGTCATAATAATACATACCAAATCTGAAAATGCAATTACCACCCCATGTCTTTGAAATGGTAGTGTCCAAGGCTTGGATCCCGGAAGCAAATCCGGCTGTTTGGTGACGCTGCATTAGACGACAAGATATGGCCCAACCTCGTAAGTATTTTAGGGTTTTGTTTGCCCTAAATACCATATAAGTAAACTTCGTATTAATGGTTGCTATCATAATTTAGTAATATAATATATCAGTGATTTTACATTGCCAGAGTTTTCGTAGTCTACAAATGGCGCGTGCAGGTATGTAATGGAGTTAGCTTCCATTGGTATTGGTGATGTCACTAACGTTAGCTAGCTAACATTTACATGTTACATTTTAGTCATTTAGCAGACGCTCTTATCCAGAGCGACTTACAGTTAGTGAGTGCATACATTATTTTTTGTAAAAAAAAATCATACTGGCCCCCCGTGGGAATCAAACCCACAACCCTGGCGTTGCAAACGCCATGCTCTACCAACTGAGCTACATCCCTGACAAGGTTGTATCTAGCTAGCAATGTATTTTACAGGTACATCATCATGAAGACGATTGGATTGTATACAAACTAGCGTTGTCTGTAATATGTCTAGTGAGTTTGAAATATCTCGTTTACGTTAGCTGATTAGCTAGCTTGTTAAATTAGTTAGCTAAGTTAGTTAGCTAGCTAATCAGGTGGTTCCTCTAGTTAAGGAATGGGATGTTCTGCATGATTGAGTCTACGAACTACTTCACTAGTCTACACGTATAAGATGGGGAATTAAATGGTTGCAATATTTCCTGTAACCATTATGTATGTGCCCACAGGTTTGTTCAGCTTGGTCCTCCTCACAGTGGCTCTCGGAGCCCAGGCTCTGACCCCATCCCATCACCTCTCCCTGTCAGACGTTGCGAGACTTCAAGCCCTCCTGAGCCAACCCTTCACAGACCTGGCATCAGCATACTACTCGATTGTTGGTCTGAGCAAGCTTGGAGCCTCAGTTGCTGATGAAAATGTAAGTATTGAAGGAAAGGGGCTTGACTGGAGTACCCAAAACATGTATCCTATGGCATGTTTAGTGTTTGCACCAGTGTTAAGTTTGCACCTTAGGCTATTCACTTCCACAATGACCACAATATTTTCCACTGCAGAAAAAAATCCTAGGGAGATACTAGTACAGTTTGTTGCCACATCAAATCCTTGTTTTTCCTTTTGCAGGATGCCTGTCATTTCCTGAAGGCCCAACTGGACCCCATGAGTGTCGACTCCCTCTTCTTCGCTGCTGAGGCCAGTCAGGCCATCTCAGACTGCGAGGTAGGTACTCATATAGGGTGCTTGATTCTATATTACCAAAACATGTAATTTGCTCCCACAGCAAGATGAACCAGCGAACAACATTTATGTTTGTGGTTTTGGATGCTCTGCCAGTGAATTCTTCACTAATAGATTGGTTCTGTTGTCTTCTTTATTCATCCTCTTTTAGATCCCGGTGTCCAATGAGACCCGTGACATCCTTCTGGCAGCAGTCAGCGAGGACTCTACAGTCACACAGATCTTCAGAGCTGTCAGCGCCCTCAGTTCCCTAGGGCTTCCTCTGGCTTCACAGGAAGTCGTCGGTGCCCTGGTCGCGCGTATTGCCAAGGAGGACAACGTCTTGGCGTGAGTAATACCTGCTGGCCTGGCAGGTGGAACAGACTTGCTGCTGGATCATTTCTTTGATCGTTTGGGAGATCTGCAATGTTTTCCTGGTAGAAATGGGTTTCTGAACTTCATTGTTTGAATCCTTTCAAACAAGGTCTACTTTTGAACAGAAGGTATTCCTATGGACATGGATCTAAAGCTATGACACCGTTTTGTCATTGTATAGTGACTGTTATTTTCTTGTCTCTCTGTACAGGATCACCACGGCACTCCAGACTGCCACCCGTCTCTCCCAGCAGGCTGAGCTCGGAGGAATCCTGGAGGAGATTGAGGTAAGTTTCACAAGTCCACCAGGTGGTGCTGTGCAACAGGTTTTGTCGGGTAAATTACTTTGCAAAGTTACTAATTCCTCACATGCAAACTGGTTTCTCAAGCAGAGGTGTTGCATTTTAACCTTTCTCTCCCTCTTAAGGATCTTGCAGCACGATTGGATGACTTGGGTGGAGTGTACCTCCAGTTCGAGGAGGGACTTGAGGCAACTGCCCTGTTTGTGACAGCAGCCTACACTCTCTCAGACCATGTGGACACAGAGCCTCCTCTGAAAGAGGTAAACTGCTCTCACCATTTATGTGGGTGGTAGATTGATGCAGGGGAGTTGCAGGCTGCATGAGTAGGGACAGGGATTTTTCCTGAACATGTCCTGGATTAGACCTCTCTATAATAATTGGTCATAGAAATCTAGAAAAACAACTCCCACCTACCTCTTTTTAAAAAAAAAGATAACTACGCATGTGGAACTAATGTGAGCTGTTTTCCACACAGGACCAGGTGATCCAGTTGGTGAACTCTGTGTTCAGTAAGAAGTCCTGGCACTCCCTGTCTGAGGCGTTCAGCGTAGCATGTGCTGCTGCCGCCCTCTCCAACAACCGCTTTCAGGTGCCAGTCATCGTCAGCGCCCAGGGGCCTGCCACCGTCTCCCACAGCCAGCCAATCCTGCAGGTACGCTGCACTAAATGTTTTTATGCTCATGACTTGGTTGTCATCAATTTGAGACACATTTGAAGGTTTTCGCATGGATCTTGAAGTGGAAAAGAGTGAGTGCCCCTACTCTAGTCGAGGGTTTGCCAAACTCGGACCCGGGTGCATGTTTTTGTTTTTGCCCAAGCTCTAGACAGCTGATTCAAATAACCAACTCATCAAGCTTTAAATGTTTTAATCAGCTGTAATCGTCAAAAACCAAAACGTGCACCCTGGGGGGGGGGCCCAGGACCGAGTTTGGGAAACCCTGCTCTAGTCAACCACTGAGCTATGGTGTTCTCTCACACATTATGCTTTTCTTTTCACTGACCATCTTTCTGCCTCCTTGTCTTTACCACAGCTTCTGGTGACTGACGTCCTCTCCAATCCTCTTGTCTCAGCCAGTGTGGTGGTGGAATCTGCTCAAGCTGTGGCCTCTAAGAGCGTCATACTCAACCAGGCACCTTTCTCCCTCAGAGAGTAAGTATGAAAGAAAGATTATAATTTGTCTGGGCAATAATGTTGCTAGTTGTGTTGATTTTTAATATGGATGATTTGTGTATGTCATTTGTTTGTCAGTGTTGCAGTGTTTGTAGTGTGTAATAATTATTTCTACCTGTTCTACAGTGGCATTTTTGAACTGAACTTCATGGCCAGCCAGCCAGCAAGTGGATATTACCAGTTCTCTGTGGCTGTCACCGGGGACACCCGATTGGTTGCCAATCAGGTTGAGGTGAGCTGGCCTTCTTTTCAAGAGAATGTATTAGGAACCATTTTGTACCCACTGACATGGAAGATAAACAGAATTTTCCATACTATTTGGAAGTTTATGCCAGTTTTCCAAAATGGTTCACTCATCACCAAGTATGGAAGGTACAGTGCATTCGGAAAGTATTCTGACCCCTCGACTTTCTACAAATTTTGTTACGTTACAGCCATATTCTAAAAATCTTATCCATCTACACACAATACCCCATAATGACAAAGCGAAAACAGGTTTTTAGAAATGTTGGCAAATAACAGAAAAAAACAGAAATACCTAATTTACGTAAGTATTCAGACCCTTGAGACTTGGTAAGGCATACACCTGTCTATAAGGTCCCACAGTTGACAGTGCATGTCAGAGGAAAAACCAAGCCATGAGGTCGAAATAATTCTCTGTAGAGCTCCGAGACAGGATTGTGTCGAGGCACAGATCTGGGAAAGTACCAAAACATTTCTGCAGCATTGAAGGTCCCCAAGAACACCGTGGCCTCCATTCTTAAATGCAAGACGTTTGGAACCACCAAGACTCTTCCTAGAGCTGGCCACCCGGCTAAACTGAGCAATCGGGGGAGAAGGGCCTTGGTCAGGGAGGTGACCAAGAACCCGATGGGCACTCTGACAGAGCTCCGGAGTACCTCTGTGGAGATGGAAGAACCTTCCAGAAGGACAACCATCTCTGCATCACTCCATCAATCAGGCCTTTATGGTAGAGTGGCCAGACGAAAGCCACTCCTCAGTAAAAGGCACATGACAGCCCGCTTGGAGTTAGCTAAAAGGCACCTAAAGGACTCTCGGACCATGAGAAACAAGATTCTCTGGTCTGATGAAACCAAGATTGAACACTTTGCCCTGAATGCCAAGCGTAATGTCTGGAGAAGTGTGGTGGCATCATCATGCTGTGGGGTTGAACAGAGAAAAGTACAGAGAGATCCTTGAAGAAAATCTGCTCCACAGCGCTCAGGACCTCACACTGGGGCGAAGGTTCACCTTCCAACAGGACAACGACCCTAAGCACACAGCCAAGACAACGCAGGAGTGGCTTCGGGACAAGTTTCTGAATGTCCTTGGGTGGCCCAGCCAGAGCCCGGACTAAAACCAGATCGAACATCTCTGGAGAGACCTGAAAATAGCTGTGCAGCGAGGCTCCCCATCCAACCTGACAGCTTGAGAGGGTCTGCAGAGAAGAATGGGAGAAACTCCCCAAATACAGGTGTGCCAAGCTTGTAGCATCATAGCGAAGAAGACTCGAGGCTGTAATCCCTGCCAAAGGTATTTCAACAAAGTACTGAGTAAAGGGTCTGAATACTTATGTAAATGTTATATTTCAGTGTTTTGTTTTTAATACCGTACAATTGCCAACATTTCTAAAACCTGTTTGCTTTGTCGTTATGGGGTATTGTGTGTAGATTGGTGAGAGGGGAAAAACTAATCCACTTTAGAATAAGGCTGTAATGTAACAAAATGTGGAAAAAGTGAAGTGGTCTGAATACTTTCCGAATGCACTGTATATTGTTTTGGATTTGTAATTCGGAGAAAATGGCGATAAATTAAATGTTATTTTAAGTTAAGTCAGTTCTCTTTGGCTGTTACCAAAAGGTTAGCAGTTCATTATGTTCAGCAAGGAGGATTCTTACTTAGTAGCCGCTTTCATTAGCTTGCAAACCTTTTTGTATTACTTGACCATGTGTCAAAGCTATTAACCTCTAGCATTTACTTTTACTTTCTCTGACCCCAATTCCCCATAAATGTGACAGTAATCACCCAGGAATTTGCATGTGAATTTCATCATTTGAATTCCATTTAATTTATAATTTTCCTTCATCTCTCTCTCCTTCTTCCCACCTGCCTTCAGCTAAAAGTGAAGGTGTCCACTGAGGTGGCCATCACAAATATGGACCTGTCTGTAGTGGATAAGGACCAGAGCATCGGCACCAAGACATCCAGGTTAGAGAGCCCAACCTCGTATATGAAGCCCTTTTAATACTGCCCTTGTGAGACCCATAACTAAGACCCATAGTTCTTCCTGCAGGTTATATGGTCAGGGAAAACTCATGGCCCTACCCATTAGCTACACAAAATAATGTATGTCTTTTTTCATTTCCAGGGTGGACTATCCCTTCAAGGCAAAGGGTTCCTTTACTGCAGACAGCCACCAGAACTTTGCCATGACTTTCCAGTTAGTGGATGTCAACACTGGAGTAGAGCTCACCCCCCACCAGGTATTTAGCTGTTCCTATGTGTCTACATTTTTATATTCATACACTCATTCTGTCAACATAGCATTGTGCTATTATATCTCTGAGTGTTGTTATTTTGTCTTTCTCTCCAGACCTTTGTGAGGTTGCACAATCCGAAAACTGGCCAGGAGGTTGTGTTTGTTGCTGAGCCTGACAGTAAGAACCTTTACAAGTTTGAGCTGGACACAGCAGAGCGGAAGTCTGAGTTTGACTCGATGTCTGGAACATATGCCCTCCACCTCATCGTGGGAGATGCCACCTTGGAGAACCCCATTCTGTGGAACGTGGCTGATGTTGTCCTGAAGTTCCTTGATGAGGAGGCCCCAGCAGCCATTCAGTCTAAGACCCTTTACATGCCCAAACCAGATATCCAGGTAAACAACAAGTTTTGAATATAAATCTAACACGTTAATGTGTTTCTCTACTCTTCTGGTTGCTAGTCATAGCTTGAAATGACATGATGGAAATTAGCTATATAGCTAAGCTACCTTTGGTGCAATATCCGTGTTGTCCGTGGTCGTTGACAAATAAATAGATGAATAGCTGGGTTCTATTCACTAGGAACCAAACGTAACTAATCAAAACTGTGAGGGACCTACCTGAATTTGTCCAATTGAAACTTGTTTTCGTTGCAAAATGTTTTCAGTTTGCTACGGTTTGGACTAATGATTACACCAATGTCCATGTTGTGCGTGGTCGCTGAAACAAATAGATGAATAGCTGGACTTGACTGATGTTCTTGTCGTGTGTAGCACTTGTTCCGGGAGCCTGAGAAGAAGCCACCCACAGTGGTGTCCAACGCCTTCACAGCCCTCGTCCTCTCACCATTCCTGCTGCTGCTTATTCTGGTGAGACACTTTACTTCTCAAAGTTTGAAGGTCAAAGATCACTTTTTAGAACATTTTCAAATCTGCCTCTTCAGTGTGACTGTTTTTCTGTTTAACCAGGCCCTTTAGAATAAAACCTTGATAATTCCTGAATGAACCTTGGTTTTTGATTAAAAACACTTGTTTTGATTTGAAATGACAATAGCGATGCTGTATGTAATTTGTGTTTTCTATGACATTTACAGTTTTGGGTGATGACATTGTCCATACTGCGAAAGGCTTGCATCAGTGCATTGTAAATTAATCCATTTTCAAACCTTTTGTACTGCCGTGGTCCATGAACAATATTCTCTTCTTCTCTCCCCCTCTCTGTTAAGTGGTTCAAACTCGGGGCCAACATCTCAAACTTCAGCTTCTCCCCCAGCTCTGTCCTCTTCCATGTGGGCCACGCATGTGAGTACGGAGTTCTGAGTCATGGATTACAATGGAAATACTGGCATTGTCACTTCACCGATATCTATTTTTCCTAGTTTATCACTTTTACTCTGTTATTGTGATGTTTCAGGCATGCTGGGACTGATGTATGTCTACTGGACTCACCTCAACATGTTCCAGACCCTCAAGTACCTGGCCATCATCGGCAGTCTCACCTTCCTGGCTGGAAACCGCATGCTAGCCCAGAAAGCAGTCAAGAGGTATGGCTTCTGTTAGCATTCGCAACACAGACTGACTGTCAGAGATTTTCTGCCTAGAGAGCTCTTGACCACAGGGAGAAGGTTTGACCTCTTTCATATGAGAAGGACTCTGGGGCTTTGGGACCTCTTGGTGCTTCTCAGAGATTGTGGCTGCCGGACGTTCACTCAGGGCCCTTGAGATCGTGTGTAAGGGCCTACTGTGACGCGCGGCCCCCTCAGTGTGTGTCTCCAAGGGGCCCCTCACCTTGCCAGGCTAGCAGAAGAGTGGAGCCTCTGCTGTAGAGCGTATGTCCACTGGGACCATGAGAGGGCCTGGCCAGATTGAACTGTGTGGGTGGTGAACTGTGTGGGTGATTTCCCCTCAAGCCTTCCACATGTAGAGCTCTCCAAAGGCCATAGAGAGACAGCGGTAATAAGTATGTCACTGGCTGAAGACGTCAAGCTCTAATTGCCCAGTGTTACTGTGGAATTACTGCACCTTGCTCCTGTCCTTTCTGACCCGGTCCTTTTAACCATATGCTAGTCTCATGATCCTTTTGGTTGATGTGGAGTCAGTGGATTTAATTTCACAATTGATGAAACTTGACTAGGTTCTGCTTGCCTGACTTTCTGTCTTTAGCCACTGTCTCCTATAGTGCCACCTGTCTCCTTAACTCTCCTGTCTGCTCCTTGCTACATTTCTCTCTTACAGGATTGCCGCAGAACAAAGTAGTAGGTTGGCAAAGTATAGGAGCCTGCGGTAAAGGCCTGTTTTCTAATAACAAAGGGCCAGTCTTCCAGGCTAAAGTAAGGGCATCCCTATGGACTGCATCCCCATTGCCCTGTATAATGCATGGCTGTGTGGTGCAGTGCTCACTCACTCGGTCTAGCGTTTTGGCCAGCATCTTGCTCATCCCACCACAAAATCATCTTTGCTCACCTTTTCCATCCTGTCCATGTCACCATTTTATTAATCTTAATATTGCCTGCCATTGTACATGGTTATTCTAAAGATGCAACGTGTGTGGTGTTTCCTCATTGGCTAAGCTCTGCATTGTCCTATCATCCTCATTGTTCTGTTGCGGAGAAATCCTTTACACTTCCTCTTTATGCTGCAAAGAAATGCATGAAGAAGTTTCACACATCAGATGTGTTTTAATGTATCCAGGACTTGTCATGCAGGCTTTAAATTACAGTGATCTTTATTTCAGATTAATTTGTGCCCAATAGAAATGAATAGTAAATAATGTATTGTCATTGTGGAGTCACTTTTTTAATGTAAATAAGAATAGACTGTGTTTTAATATGGACGCTACCATGATTACGGATAATCCTGAATGAATCGTGAATAATTATGAGTGAGAAAGTTAGAGGCATAAATATCATACCCCCCCCCCCCAAAATGATAATCTCCTGTGTTAATGTAATGGTGAGAAGTTAGCATGTCTTGGGGGGTATGATATTTGTGCGTGTAACTTTCTCACTCATCATTATTCACAATTCATTCAGGACTATCCATAATCATGGTATCATCCACAACATGAACGTAGAAGTGTTTAGAAACATTCTATTCTGATTCACAATAAAAGTGACAGCAAAATGACATAATACACTATTTCTATTGGGCACAAAATAATCTGAAACACAACCAAAACAAACAGAATGCATCCAACAAGTTTGTAGAGTCACAAGATTGATGTAATCATTGCGTTCTAGAAATATGGGACCAAATACTAAACATTTGACTACTTTTTAATACGCATAAGTGAATTTGTCCCAGTACTTTTGGTTCCCTGAAATGGGGTGGAGGGGAGAGAGACACTGTACAAAAAGTGCTGTAATTTCTAGCGGGTCACCAGATTTTATAGATGAAAATACCCTCAAATTAAAGCTGACAGTCTGCACTTTAACCTCCTAGTCATAGTATCATTTCAAATCCAAAGTGCTGGAGTACAGAGCCAAAACAACAACAAATGTCACTGTCCCAATACTTTTGGAGCTCACTGTGGATGATTGTTTAAAGGTCTTTGTCTGATAATTTAACATGTACAACAAACATACTAATGTCTGTATTTTCTTCTCTGGCAGAATTGCAAGTAAATGATGACAGAAGATTGAAGAAGACTAAAGATGCTTAGTTTAAGGATTCATTTAAAGACACATCATCAACCATCAGACTGTCATCAAAGGCATGTTATTCCATGAATCCAATAGAAATGTTGAAATGCAGTTTGACTGATTTTTTTCACTTGAAAGTAAATGTTAAAGTCAAATGTCTCCAGTAGAGTGATTGGACAGATGCTTACTGACACAGATACTCCTAAGGGGTGTAACGCTAACCATCCTTGCACTTCATTTTTCTGTGACTTTGTTTTGCAAATGACATTTTCTTTCACAATTGGCTTGGGGATATCATTTTGTGGTTTCATAATGAAATGTGGATGGATTTTCTTTTTGTACATTCCTGTTTCTCAAGGCCCATCTTACCACTGCATCATAAAAATGTGCGTCAAGAAGTTAGCCTTCGATTTTGTAAGGCCTTTTGATATAAGTTGATTGAGGTGGCTTCACTGACATGTTCATCATCAGTCTGTAATATTTGCTTGTCTCCTCACTGAATTACAATAAAGACCCCCCACCACCCCCCCCCAGAACAAAATTGTGGATGGGCAATCCTGGAAAATCTGATGTTTTTGTAATTAAAGAAATGGGGATTCATTTGAGTGTACTGCTTTTTGTTATCGGTGCAATACACACTGTAATTCTATCATTCTAAAGCCCTTGAAATAATAGTGCCTATACTAAGCATTTGTTTCAGTTGGATGAAGGAAGCTAAATGAATGCACTGGACTCATATCAAATCTCTTTGCTTTATTGTGAAAACTGCGGTTACATATTATTTAGTATAATTCTGTTTGCCAGTGTATGAACTGAGCGACGTGTTGATTTTCTTGACTCAAAGCTTTGATAGGAAAATAGCATTTTTTCCCTCTGAAAACAAAAACAGTATCTTATGACATACTTTCAGGTCATTAAAGAGTGTGTTTAGAGTCGGAGACACTTCTTGTCTTCACTTTGTCCTCGCTTACATTCACTACATAGAAGTCTGGAAGAGAACATTAAGTAGGAATGTCAGTTAAATCACAACTAAGCATTTCCACATGACACACTTCACAAATTACAATTTGGCAATGTACGTGTATGCCCTGAATGCTTACAAATAACTTGTTTTAATTTGTCTGCAGTAAGATCATGAGATTTCCAAACCGTGCACTGGGTGGGGTACTGTACCTTGGCTTCTTGACATTGTTTTGCTGTCCCCTGTAACTCTGTTTTCTCTGAACAGATGTCAGATCCTGTTTGTAGGTGCCCTCGTAAATGTCTGACTGGCATTTCACATTATAGCTCCGGCCTTCTACTCTGGGTTTGAAAAGATTGAAAACAGAAAGAATATAATAAGTACAGTATACACATTTGCAGTGCTTCTATACTTAATTATCACTTAATATATACTTAAATATAGTATATCATTAACTGACAGAGTGCCTAAACATCCAATACTCACTGTAGCCTTTTTCCCATGATGCTCTGTAGGAACTTCCTGGCTGAGATTTGACCTAGAACTTTCCTGTAGCTGTTGGTGAAGATAGCATCAGCATGTCTTCCTGATCTGAGATGTATAGAATTTGAAAGTTCAGTTAACCTTATTGCCTTGATACAATTATTTAGTACTGAAGCTTTTGTGGTGGCACTGACCGTAGTTCGGGTTTTTGTCTCAGGGGAGTGCTGTTCTCTTCCTCTATAGAGGAGGTCATCAGGATGGACGTGTCCCTCTGACCAAACCTAGAAGAAAAACATCACAGAAACATGGTATGATGTTTATTATGATGTCCACCCACTGGGCAAAAACTGAATCAAAGTTGTTTCCACATTTCAACCCCCCAAAAACCTATGTGATGACGTTGAATGAACTTATTGGAAGTCATTTCGTCAAAAGGAAATTTTCCAAACTTTTAACCTACATCCAATTAAATGGTGACATTTTTGGTGATTTAATGTTGAATTCACGTTAGTTGACAACTCAACCAAATGTAAATCAAAACTAGACGTTGAACTGACGTCTGTGCCCAGTGTGCAGAGTCAGACACTTTTTGTGCGACTTCACTTGGATAAAGTTCAGCATGACAATTTCATGAGTATAACATCTAAAGACCTGCATCACTATACCGAGAGCGTTTCCGTTTCTAAAAGGACATATTTGGGTTTTCTCAAAACGAAGTCAAATCGCAAAAAAAAAAGTGTTTTGACACCTCTATTTTATTTGTATTTATCCCGGTAAACCAGTTGAGAACAAGTTCTCATTTACAACTGCGACCTGGTCAAGATAAAGCAAAGCAGTGCGATAAAAACAACAACACAGAGTTACATATGGGGTAAAACAAAACATAAAGTCAAAAAAATACAACAGAAAATATATATACAGTGTGGCAATAAATAGGCCATAGTGCAAAATAATTACAATTAGTATTAACACTGGAATGGTAGATGTGCAAGATATGATGTGCAAATAGAGATACTGGGGTGCAAATGAGCAAAATAAATAACAATATGGGGATGAGGTAGTTGGGTGGGCTAATTGCAGATGGGCTGTGTACAGGTGCAGTGATCGGTAAGGTGCTCTGACAACTGATGCTTAAAGTTAGTGAGGGAGATAAGAGTCTCCAGTTTCAGAGATTTTTGCAGTTCGTTCCAGTCATTGGCAGCAGAGAACTGGAAGGAATGGCGGCCAAAGGAGGTGTTGGCTTTGGGGATGACCAGTGAGATATACCTGCTGGAGCGCATACTACGGGTGGGTGTTGCTATGGTGACCAATGAGCTAAGATAAGGCGGGGATTTGCCTAGCAGTGATGTATAGATGGCCTGGAGCCAGTGGGTTTGGCGACGAATATGTAGTGAGGACCAGCCAACAAGAGCGTACAGGTCACAGTGGTGGGTAGTATATGGGGCTTTGGTGACAAAATGGATGGCACTGTGATAGACTACATCCAATTTGCTGAGTAGAGTGTTGGAGGCTATTTTGTAAATGACATCGCCGAAGTCAAGGATCGGTAGGATAGTCAGTTCTATAACAATGATAAAGTAAATTATAAAGATTTTTAAAAAATTGACAGTTTGTTTTGCATGCTATCTAAAACAACTATATTTCAAATGCCATTATCTCAATTGTAGTTAGGTCAAGTGACCATTATCAGTAGATGTGTTTTTCTGCATATGCATAACAATGGTCTCATACTTTGCCCCCGAATGCTGTGATTAATGTGCTGTGCAAACGTTACACATTTTAGTGACTAATCCAGACATCTTGACCCTTGTTAGCATAACAAGAAGACAGGGCACACTTTGACAGGTAGACTGACCCCTGATAGATTTAGTGCATCATGTTCAGACAGACTGCTGGCTGCAGTTATTCTCTGTTTCTTTCTGCCCTCTCTTGGCAGTCCAGTCTTTGTCTGTTACTAACCACACCTCGTGTTCATCCCATTGTTACACCGCCCATCACTGGGATGAAGCATAAATTTTTTTCAGCAGCAGCACAGTGTGAAAATTGAATTCTTGAAAAGGGAGCTAGCGGAGAGTATTGTGTATAACTGGCCCTGGTCAAGGAGACTGGGGGCAGAGTAGGGGGGATAACTGCAGTTCAGGTGTGGATCATTCCACTCAACAAGCTCTGTGTCATTAGCCTGTTTAACAAGAGGGTTAGTAACATATTTTACTGGGGAGGTTTAGTTGCTGTTCCCCAGAGATTGGTATTAGAACACTTACACATTTGAGTGTTGTAAATGTCACTCAAAAGGCAATGCACACCACTACTGACATAGCTACTAGGGGTTCATGAAAAGCTAATTGATTCAAAATGTAATTTAATTAGATGACATCATCAGATGACAGATGACAGCATTGTTTTTGATGCTCTAGCAGTAATCAATTAGAATCATAAATCACTCTTTCGTATTCAATTTCATTATGGTTAGGGAGCTTTAACAGTTGCACTCATATTCATATTTAATTGTTTAACATAAATAGTATCAGAATGCTTTTTTAGATAGCAAACTTAAAAAATGTATTATCAGAAACATTTTCTAAATAATAATTCAATAAGACCATTTCTAAGATTTTAGTTTTTTAAAGTCACATTGGGAAAGTAAAATAAGCAATATTTTGTCATATGTCATATAATGCCTGTTAGATACAGTATTTGTCAAATTAACATGTTTATATTTTTGCCAAACATTTTAATGCTATTAAAATGACATTAAATGTTTAAACAAAATTGTTCTCATGCAGATTGATTGGATTCTTACCTAATAGATGGGTAGAGTGGGGCGCCTGATACAGACATCACCAGACAGCAGAACACCAGCAGTGCAGCTCTATCCATCATCATGGCTAGTTCTGGAAAACAATGGACAGCAAGAAGAAATGGCAGTGTTAAAATTACATTAGAAAAAACGCTGAAGCCAGTTTTCCTCACTTGGCCCCTGATCTGATATCACTGCAGTAGACATTGAGTTCTCTAGGAGAGGTAGACTTGAAGACTTGCTAAATTGTTCTGATGATTACTTTGACCAAGATAAAGTATGGATTATTCAGTGTTGCAATATGTAACCAAATATATGTAAATATTTGCTATTATGTGAAATTAGTCTTTATCCACTAAATGGGTAACTTTACTCAGGTAATATTTTTTGATTGACATTCCAACCAATATATAATTAAAGCACAAACGTGTAGTGATTGCATTTGAAAACTAAACATCCATGTATGATTGATGTTAACAATGGAAATGTAATCTTTACAAAAACGTGATTGACATATACTTGAAAGGGTAACAATATCAATGTATGTAACCATATCATCAAATGGTATTCTTGACATACAAAAACTATAACATCTGAAACATAAAGTTAGTTACCTGGATTAATCCTTTGTGTGTTAATTCTATTGGGTTCTTCTCCTGCAGTCCTTGATGTCAGTTCAGGTCATCATCTCAGAAGAAATGCTGGAACAGCTTTGTGTGGATATCACTCTCCTCTCTGAATAAACCTTTTAAACCAACCAATCAAAGACTCCAGTGACATCACCTCTGATGTTGCTCTCTTTCTCCCTTTCACCATACTTGTTGAGGTATGCTTTAGATTTCTCTCCATCTCCCTTCTCTTTCATTGGTCATCTATCTATATATTCTCCTCACACAGTCCTTTCATTAAATTATTTATGTTTCTACAACATAGCACAACTTTCTTTGTAGGTTTCATATGTTTTATTTGTTTAAATACATCTGCAATATATAGAATATAATTTATATTTATGGTACAGTTTTTCTGTAGTTTTGTACAGATTCCTTCCGAAGTGCACAACGATGGCACGGTCACAGTGGAACCTTTTGTAAATGAAGTGGTTCAAGACGGACCGCAATATTGGACGTCCTTGAGGACGCGTTTGATAGACGGGCAGTTGTTTACACATGATACGTGAAGGATCACGCTAGCAAATTACTTTGTTGTGTACGGAATTAAAACTACTTCAATACGGCAAATGTAGTCTTCAACCGACAGTTAATGTGCAGAAAGAAGAATGATGACATACGAGAGCTGCATCACCTGCTGAATACAAATTCAGAGGGCTCTTTTTCTGATGATGTCAAGCCACTAACAGTAGCTGACTAACGTTAGCTATTTTGAACATTGTTTTCTAATTTTCACCCATTGCAAAATGTCGCAGTAATTTACGTTATAGTCGTATTTGACAAATATGAGAAACACCAACCGTTTAAGACCTATTTTTCTTACTTTTCAACAATGGTTACCTAGATGGAGCTTGCAACACAGGTTGTGTTGTTCAAAGCCAGTCAGCGTTCATTCTAACGAGGAGAGCAGGGTAGATAAATTCAAAACTCAAATAGCCACAGGTCCAACATTTCATGAATTTGTCAAGGGAGCTTCCTTCAACAAACAACAACCAGTTATCACTGATGATTTGATAAACACTGACAAGCATGCCTATCTTCCTGAGGACTCAGAAATTGGGAATTCTAGGACAGGTTTGCACACTGCACTTTCACATCACTAATAAAAAAACAAATCGTCTTCTATTAATGACTGTTGAAATAATGCATGTTGATTTTTTTACAGTATGTTTTGAAACCTATGGCTGTCAGATGAACGTCAACGACACAGAAATTGCCTGGTCAATATTGCAGAAGAAGGGATATCAACGCACAAGTGATGTCGATGAGGTACAGATGACATTCACTTTTTAGTAGGATTAAAATGTGTATTACAAAATATTTTTATTGACAGAAGCCTGTGATTAAATATACAGTTGATCTCTTTCAGGCTGATGTTGTCCTCCTTGTTACATGCTCTATAAGGTAAAGTTCAAGTATTTTTGGGACAGAGGGAGGCATTTTCACTTAAGTTTAACATACTCAAGCAAGGTTTTCCCTGCTCTGCTTCGCACAGAGAAAAAGCAGAACAAACCATCTGGAACCGACTACGGCAACTTACAGCAATGAAGAAAAGACGCTTAAAGACCCGGATACCCATGAAAATTGGAGTCTTAGGTGAATGAGTTAGTCCGACCTGTGACTATGATACATGTGATGTTTCTGTCTGAACCAACAGTGTAGGATCAACACAACATTCATGCTGGCTCTGATCCCCAGTATGTTTGTGGCCCCAGGTTGCATGGCCGAGAGGCTGAAGTCTGAGCTGCTGGAGAGGGAGAAGCTGTTGGATGTTCTGGCTGGTCCAGATGCATACCGGGACCTTCCTCGCCTCCTGTCTGTGGCCCATGGTGGTCAGCAGGCTAGCAACGTGCTGCTGTCTCTAGAGGAGACATACGCTGATGTCATGCCTGTCCACCACTCACCCCAGGGTTACAGCGCTTTTGTGTGAGTGTCTCTCTGACTGTCTGTCACATCTTGTACAGCTAGGCAAGTGTTTATTCGTCACGTTGAATGTACTCTGGTGCATTCTACCATTTACAATCAGATGAGTTAGGGAATTGCATCTGAAACACAGGACCCTAGAATTACATATATAATTGAATAGGATCTCTGTGTACAGGACATTGGCCTTGATCATGCATCCTCGTGTACCTCCCTCCCTGCTCTGTAGGTCCATCATGCGAGGGTGTGATAACATGTGCAGCTACTGCATTGTCCCGTTCACTCGAGGTCGAGAGAGGAGTCGACCAGTGTCCTCTATCCTTGAGGAAGTCCGTATCCTGTCGGAGCAGGTCAGTGTTTTAAATATCTCACAGGTGTGCAGTTACTGCTCTTGTTTGTGTCTTAATGGACTGTATGCAGGCTTAAGCTATTCTTAGCATTACTGCGCTTTTGTTCTGTACCAGGGCGTGAAGGAGGTGACCCTGTTGGGTCAGAATGTGAACAGCTACAGGGACACATCAGAGGAACAGTTCTGTAGTTCAGAGCCAGGCCAGCTGAGCCGGGGCTTTAGGACGGTGTACCGAGCCCGGCCCGGGGGCCTGCGCTTTGCTGACCTGTTGGACAGAGTGTCCCTCATAGACCCGGACATGAGAATCAGGTTCACCTCCCCTCATCCCAAGGACTTCCCTGATGAGGTACAAATGGAGTCCAAAAGGCAAACTGATGTTAATAGTATTGTGAATATATATTGTTGTTCTAATAGTCTGTAAGATTGTAAAGAAGGCACTTTTTTCTTATTCTGTTCACTGCTACACACACACTAATCTCAAGCATAAATGTAAGGTAAACATTTGACCATTGACGGATATACAGTAGATTGTTCTCTGTATTGAAAGTTGTTGTAGACATTGTGAACCTGGTGTTTGTGTGTAGGTGTTGCAGCTGATAAAAGAGAGGGGGAACATCTGTAAGCAGATCCACCTCCCGGCTCAGAGTGGCAGCAGCACAGTCCTACAGGCCATGCGCCGGGGGTAACACACTCCTCTAGTTCAGCTTTTACTTGGGTCTCAAATAGAAATGTAAGCAGGTTCATGGAACAGATTCAAATATGTTAATTGTCTTGTGTCCATTTGGAAAATTTCAGCTATACTAGGGAGGCTTACCTGGAGCTTGTGGATAACATCAAGAGAATAATCCCAGGTAGACCACCACAATTTGTTTATACGTTTCTTTGTGATTAATAGTTGCTGTGAATTCAGGTAACAGTTGCAGACCGGTTCTGCTATGCACATTGGCTGCATGCCAACAGCATGTTGTGTAATGGACTTTTGAAAGGACTGACTGTCTTATTGCCAGTGGCAGTGGGTCAGTGATGGTTCAATCCTGTGTCTGTCTGTGTCAGTGGTGAGCCTGAGCAGTGACTTCATCTCGGGGTTCTGTGGGGAGACAGAGGAGGACCACCTGCAGACCCTGTCTCTGATCAGGGAGGTGCGCTACAACGTGGGCTTCCTGTTTGCCTACAGTATGCGGAAGGTCAGTTCAACTCGATTAACATACTGGAAATGATTCCACATTTGCAACTGTTTTTTTTCGGAGGCCCATACAGTTTGTGTTACGAAATCCAGGCCCCTCTAAATTAGACAATATTTTCAAGAGTAAATTAAATGTCATTTATTGTGTTAATGCCGTATATCCTGTGTACACTGTGCTGTGTCCTCTCTCCCAGAAAACCCATGCGTTCCATCGTCTTCAGGACGACGTGCCAGCGGAGGTGAAGCAGCGGCGGCTAGAGGAGCTCATCACTGTGTTCAGAGAGGAGGCCACCAAGGTCAACGCTGCCCTCATCGGCAGTACACAGCTTGTCTTGGTGGAGGGAGTGAGTACCATTTCTTCTGTTCTTGAAATAGAATGCTCTCCCCATATCTTGGGCCCAATGCTTGGCCTTTCCACCTGACCTGATGGGGAGAAACTCCTATCCCTACTCATATGGTTACTAGTAGCATAGTGTACATCTCTAAATACAAATGTATTGAGCCATGAGCCCCTGCTCCCAACACCTCAGACTTACCCTGCATGGGCAGACTAGCAATTTAGACTGGACCGATTCAACTTTACCCGTGGCGTGCAAACATAGCATTATAGCAGGTCGAGCCAACGAGGATTCAATATTCACCGGGCGAATCGGGTAAAACCCGCTCTAATTCACATATAGGCAATGGTACTTAATCGTCCCAATATAAATTGACCTTGTTTTCACGTCCCCTCAGGAGAGTAAGAGATCAGCTCAGGACCTGTGTGGGAGGAACGATGGGAACGTGAAGGTGATCTTCCCTCGGCAGGAAGTGGCTGGTCAGCCCACTGACACACGCACTGAAACACACACTGCCCCCATCAACCCGGGAGACTATGTCCTGGTCAAGGTACACTTTCATTCTGCCATAGCTGTTTCAACTGCTCTGTTCCTGCCCTGTGACTGACTGGCCTGTCTCCCATACAGATAACATCAGCCAACTCCCAGAGCCTGAGAGGACACGCCCTCAGCCACACCTCTCTGAGTGACACAGCAACACGTTTACCTGACCACTGCCATGACAGACAACTGGCTTCAGTCTCTAGACACGGTGTCTAGTCCTCTGTCCTCTGGTCCTTCGTCCTCTGTACCCTGAAAGTGAGTGTGGAGTGGACGTCCTCTGTGGCACCACAACGCAGAGGTAACATCGACAAAGATGTTAGCTCAAACCAGAGACAACTGACTGAAGAAGACTTTTGTCAACAACAAAAAAATAAAGCTTTATTGTTATTTGTTTTAATTATACAAATATACAGTGAGGGAAAAAAGTATTTGATCCCCTGCTGATTCTGTACGTTTGCCCACTGACAAAGAAATGATCAGTCTATAATTTTAATGGTAGGTTTATTTGAACAGTGAAAGACAGAATAACAACAAAAAAATCCAGAAAAAACGCATGTAAAAATTTTTATAAATTGATTTGCATTTTAATGAGGGAAATAAGTATTTGACCCCCTCTCAATCAGAAAGATTTCTGGTTCCAGGTGTCTTTTATACAGGTAACGAGCTGAGATTAGGAGCTCATAAAGGGAGTGCTCCTAATCTCAGTTTGTTACCTGTATAAAAGACACCGGTCCACAGAAGCAATCAATCAATCAGATTCCAAACTCTCCACCATGGCCAAGACCGAAGAGCTCTCCAAGGATGTCAGGGACAAGATTGTAGACCTACACAAGGCTGGAATGGGCTACAAGACCATCGCCAAGCAGCTTGGTGAGAAGGTGTCAACAGTTGGTGCGATTATTCGCAAATGGATGAAACACAAAATAACTGTCACTCTCCCTCGGCCTGGGGCTCCATGCAAGATCTCACCTCGTGGAGTTGCAATGATCATGAGAACGGTGAGGAATCAGCCCAGAACTACACGGGAGGATCTTGTCAATGATCTCAAGGCAGCTGGGACCATAGTCGCCAAGAAAACAATTGGTAACACACTACGCCGTGAAGGACTGAAATCCTGCAGCGCCCACAAGGTCCCCCTGCTCAAGAAAGCACATATACAGGGCCGTCTGAAGTATGCCAATGAACATCTGAATGATTCAGAGGAGAACTGGGTGAAAGTGTTGTGGTCAGATGAGACCAAAATCGAGCTCTTTCGCATCAACTCAACTCGCCGTGTTTGGAGGAGGAGGAATGCTGCCTATGACCCCAAGAACACCATCCCCACCGTCAAACATGGAGGTGGAAACATTATGCTTTGGGGGTGTTTTTCTGCTAAGGGGACAGGACAACTTCACCGCATCAAAGGGACGATGGACGGGGCCATGTACCATCAAATCTTGGGTGAGAACCTCCTTCCCTCAGCCAGGGTATTGAAAATGGGTCGTGGATGGGTATTCCAGCATGACAATGACCCAAAACACACGGCCAAGGCAACAAAGGAGTGGCTCAAGAAGAAGCACATTAATGTCATGGAGTGGCCTAGCCAGTCTCCAGACCTTAATCCCATAGAAAATCTGTGGAGGGAGCTGAAGGTTCGAGTTGCCAAACGTCAGGCTCGAAACCTTAACGACTTGGAGAAGATCTGCAAAGAGGAGTGGGACAAAATCCCTCCCGAGATGTGTGCAAACCTGGTGGCCAACTACAAGAAACGTCTGACCTCTGTGATTGCCAACAAGGGATTTGCCACCAAGTACTAAGTCATGTTTTGCAGAGGGGTCAAATACTTATTTCCCTCATTAAAATGCAAATCAATTTATAACATTTTTGACATGCGTTTTTCTGGATATTTTTGTTGTTATTCTGTCTCTCACTGTTCAAATAAACCTACCATTAAAATGATAGACTGATCATGTCTTTGTCAGTGGGCAAACGTACAAAATCAGCAGGGGATCAAATACTTTTTTCCCTCACTGTATTCATTATAAATTGGATGAAAGTGGAATACTGAAACGATTGGAAGATAATTAAGCATTTAAGAATGTGGTGTATTGATTGAAAGTGTATATGTATAATACATTTAGATTTTCAAACATTAATTGCATGTCTCATTGGTTTGATTTGATTGTTGATTTGTAGTGGGATTTACATGGCACTTATCCTGTGAACTGAACGTCTGTTCCAATCAGCATGTAGTCCTGGAGAGAGAAAAGGAACAGTAGTTTGTCAATTATAGGACACATACACACTGTTTATAGTATAGGAGATATTGTAAATGATAGATGTTGGTAGCACTGAGCTCTTAGATATATTGTAATGTACCTTCAGGACCTGTAGCTGAGTGTTAACAAGGTTCATCTTTCCAATAGAGGGAAGAGGAAAACCCTTCTCTAGGCGAGCTATAGGATAAAAACACAGTGGTCAATCAGTGCAGAAACAATGAATGTGTCCTTCCACCAATTCGGTGCCTTTTGAGAAGTGTAACTTGGTCCAAAAATACTTTCGATTTAAACTAATTTTAACATTCTGTCATAAAGAGTACATGTTCAACAAAAAAAAAAAAAAATGTTTTCCAACCTCAAGGTTAAATAAAAAAATTAAGTGCCAACTAAAGTAACAGGGTTGACTGTAACAGGGTTGAGGACTTCATCTTAAATCAGCCATAAATCCCCTAGTGACAGGGGGATTAGAAGCTTGTTGTGTGCAACATGGAGGGGCAATTGAATGCAAGCTTCACAAAAAAAATGAAATTGTTAAAAACGTTCTTGCCTGTCTATCTATGGGTAACAGGGTTGACATGTTATGCTCGACCCACTCAGTTTTCCACCGTAAAACACCAGAAAATGGCCAAAAAGTGTAGAACCAGCTCACCTGCTTTTACTCTATGATTTTACTATTAGATGTTCAATGTTTTTTTTTTAATATTTAAAAAGGAGTAGTTTCACCATATTAAAATGAGAATTCAGTTCACGTAACACGGTTGACCTTAAAATGAGAGACAGATGTAGATGAATCACTACTCACAAATAAATAATAATATTCAAAAATGACTTTGTCAAAGCAACAAAATACAGTGCCTTGCAAAAGTATTCATCCCCCTTGGTGTTTTTCCTATTTTGTTGCATTACAACCTGTAAATTAAATGGATTTTTATTTGGATTTCATGTAATAGACATACACAAAATAGTCCAAATTGGTGAAGTGAAATGAAAATAATAATAATAAATAATATATTTTTTAATAAAAAATAAATAACGGAAAAGTGGTGCGTGCATTTGTATTCACCCCCTTTGCTATGAAGCTCCTAAATAAGATCTGGTGCAACCAATTACCTTCAGAAGTCACATAACGAGTTAAATAAGTCCACCTGTGTGCAATCTAAGTGTCACATGATCTGTCACATGATCTCAGAATATATACACCTGTTCTGAAAGGCTCCAGAGTGCAACACAACTAAGCAAGGGGCACCACCAAGCAAGCAGCACCATGAAGACCAAGGAGCTCTCCAAACAGGTCAGGGACAAAGTTGTGGAGAAGTACAGATCAGGGTTGGGTTATAAAAAAAATATCAGAAACTTTGAACATCCCACGGAGCACCATTAAATCCATTATAAAAAAATTGAAAGAATATGGCACCACAACAAACCTGCCAAGAGAGGGCTGCCCACCAGGCGAGGAAGGCATTAATCAGAGAGGCAACAAAGAGACCAACGATAACCCTGAAGGAGCTGCAAAGCTCCACAGTGGAGATTAGAGTATCTGTCCATAGGACCACTTTAAGCTGTACACTCCACAGAGCTGAGCTTTACGGAAGAGTGGAGAGAAAAAAGCCATTGCTTAAAGAATAAAATAAGCAAACATGTTTGGTGTTTGCCAAAAGCCATGTGGGAGACTCCCCAAACATATGGAAGAAGGTACTCTGGTCAGATGAGACTAAAATTGAGCTTTTTGGCCATCAAGGAAAACGCTATGTCTGGCGCAAACCCAACACCTCTCATCACCCCGAGAACACCACAGCATGATGCTGCCACCACCATGCTTCACTGTGGGGATGTTTTTCATCGGCAGGGACTGGGAAACTGGTCAGAATTGAAAGAATGATGATGGATGGCGCTAAATACAGGGAAATTCTTGAGGGAAACCTGTTTCAGTCTTCCAGAGATTTGAGACTGGGACGGAGGTTCACCTTTCAGCAGGACAATGACCCTAAGCATACTGCTAAAGCAACACTCGAGTGGTTTAAGGGGAAACATTTAAATGTTTTGGAATGGCCTAGTCAAAGCCCAGACCTCTGTGGTATGACTTAAAGATTGCTGTACACCAGCGGAACCCATCCAACTTGAAGGAGCTGGAGCAGTTTTGCATTGAAGAATGGGCAAAAATCGCAGTGGCTTGATGTGCCAAGCTTATAGAGACATACCCCAATAGACTTGCAGCTGTCATTTCTGCAGAAGGTGGCTCTACAAAGTATTGACTTTCTTGTTTGTTTCACAATAACAAATATTTTGCATCTTCAAAGTGGTAGGCATGTTGTGTAAATCAAATGATACGAACCCCCCAAAAATCCATTTTAATTCCAGGTTGTAAGGCAACAAAATAGGAAAAATGCCAAGGGGGGTGAATACTTTCGCAAGCCACTATTTTCATGGAACGACCCAAATATAAATAATCAAGGAAAGAAAGCACTCACCATTGACCTTTGGTATCACAGCCACTTTCAGAACCATCAGGAAGATGTTGTCAAGAGATCGAACCTGTTTTAGTGTTTAGATTCAGTGTGTTTAAGTGTTTAAAAAGCAAGTTATATGCAAGTTATAAGCTCTGAATATGTAATTCTTACCTGAAACTGTCCCACATAAGTAGTTTCCAGAGTCATCTCAATTCTGTGAAAAGTAGACCGCATTCATTTCCTTTGGTCAGTTTCTGAAAAATACTTTCTTCCCCTTTTGCACCCGTGTAGACAATCATACTCACTTGTTCAGAGTGACAGCCCCAGCCAACTTCATCCCGGTCACGTACAGTCGAGCGCTGACACTACCCTCCTGTAGTGAGAACGGAGAGCTTGTAGAGTTATGTATCACTCTTACAGTCTGACCTACAGCATTCTACCTCCTCCTGATTGAGTGACTGACAAACTGACTGACCATGTTGAGGACGAAGAGGGGAGAGAGGGTGGTGTTGGTCTGGATGGCGTAAGCCGTCACGGTGCCGCTGGCCTGGACAGTCACGTTGTTGGGCTCAAAGAAGATGGTGGGCTCTTTCACCGTCTTCACCAGCAGCTTCATCATCATGCCAGGGAAACGCTTGGCTATCTGAAAGCACAGAATAACATATTCACTCTTCTGACCTGAGGAGAACACTCATGGTATCCTCTATCTTAGATACAAATACAGAGTAAATATTTGAACAAAGGCAGGTTTCCATCTCTAGAGGGACAGTAATGTCATATTCTGTACTACTCTGAATATCGTGAGGTAAAATGAAGACAATGGTGTGTTGTTTATCACCTCTGGAATGAGGGCCCCAAACGTTCTGGTGTTCAGCCGGATGGGAGAGCTTGGAGGGATCTGTCAGGAGAAAATGGAGAGGAGGACTGTGTCACTCTGTGGATGAGCCTGTCTAGAACAAAGACGTTTGCAGTTGTGAAGGGATCCTCACCATATCATCAGTGATATAGAAGCTAAGTGCGCCAGCATTGTTGTACACGAATCCTGCAGAGTTGATGGTGAAGGCAGAGATCCCGATGTAGAGAATGTTGTTGACCTGAGGAGGCAGTGAGAAGGGTGTGGGGGAGAATGGAGGCTCCTGGTGCTTCCCAATGTTGTAGAACTCACCCTGCAGAGAGAGATGGGGGGGGGGGGGGGGGGGGGGAGGAAGAGAGAGGGAGAGCAAAGAGAGAAATAGAGAGAGGTTTGACCTTTATGCCTCTTGCTTGTTTACATCTTTGAACAGATACATTGGTAGTTTGAAATCTGGAGTTCTCACCTTCAAGCTGAAATCAATGGAGGAATTTGAAATGGTGGGTGATGTCACCATGGAATATTGAACTTCAGCATACTTGTCCACTTTGGCTAGAACTTGACAAGATGGCAGAAAACATATATTTTTTTGTATCAATAATGAACTAATCAATTCATTATCGTACATTCTTATGTACAAGTTGTGTTTTACCATTGAGAGTTTTGAGGTGTGGGTTCATGTCAGTAATAGCATCAGCCACTAGGGGACAGATCTGTAACAATGAACAGAGCGATTGTTATTGTCAAGAGAACAGAAGAAGAATAACCTGTTGTGATTGTTGAAGTGTTGAGTCAGAGAGGAAGTGAGTCTTTGGTTGAGTTTGTAGTCTGGCATTACACTGTCTCTCACCTGTTTCTGCAGAGCACTGCGCAGGGCCTTGTCAATGTAGGCACTGAAAAGGTTGTACAGCCAGCTGGGAAACAGGAACCAAAGCACGATAAATCCACATTGTAATCATTTTATAACATTATGGTTTGATTAGGCTTCCTTAGTCGGTAACATGCATACTCACAACGTTTTTAGTGGACTATAGTGTTTCGTGCAACTTTATAGTCTAGTTACCTGGCTCCACCATGGAACTTGATGCTAGCACTGCCCACGTTGGCCACACAGTTGACACTGCTGACCGTTGGCCTGCCAGTCTCATCACTCTTCATTGTAATACTGTCAGTGATGGTGAGTCCATTCACCTCCAGGTCGAAGGATCCACTATCTTTTCTAGATTGTTAATGAGAAAATAAGGATTGTTGATTGAGTCCTTAGTTTTATGGACAGACCCAAGAGAACATTGTGCAGTGTTGTCCTGGGGATGTACTGGGTGTGCAGCAGTGGAAGCTGCTGAGGGGAGGACGGCTCATAATAATGGCTGGAATGGAGTCAATGGAATGGTATCGACCAGATGGAAACCACGTCTTTGATGTGTTTGATACCTTTCCATTGACTCCATTCCAGCCATTATTATGAACCGTCCTCCCCTCAGCAGCCTCCACTGGTGTGCAGTCTTTAGATCCAGCTTGCTTGGAACAATCCAGCTGGTCCCGAGGATGCACTTACATGAAGCTAAGGTATCGGATCTTCCAGTTCCCATGCAGGCTGATGAAGGCATTAGTAATGGTCAGGCTGATTGCAGTACTTGGCACCAGTGCCAGAGCAGACTTCGGCAGTCCCAGATTCACTATCGTCATTCTGGAGGATAAAACCGAGTACTCAGAGACAGAGTTGGTTGATAGGGGAGTGTTGTGAACACTAGCATTTGTAAGCACAGTTTACTATATCAACAACAATTTACATGAGATATGCAGATCATTGCAAATGTATTTGACTGCAATGTATTTTTGGGGAAAATATATTGGATTTTCTCCCTTACCCTGTCAAACTGTACTTGACCTTGCCAATGGGAGCCACTCTCTCAGTCCCAGAGAGGTCTGGGACCTTCATGGTCTTGAGTTTCTGCTGCAGAGATGCCATCCCAATCTGTTTGCCTGTGGACAAGACAGGATAGCGGGGGATTGGGACAGAATGATCTCAACACACAGACAGACTCATTTAGCTCTATTGCCCTTTCTTACACTTACCATATTCAATGCCCTTCTCTGTGAGTTTGACCTTGACTCCAGGGTTGGTGGCCAGAGTTAAGGGGACAAGAGCCAACAGAGCCAGCCAACAGCATGGAGACATCTTGACTGCAGTCACCTGTATGGAGCACAAACCAACAATAATATATCTATTCTACAATGAAGGTGAATTGTTTGGCATAATAGAAATGGGAACATCCTTCAGACATTTGGGCTTCCCCTTTCAAAGTCGGAACGTGGGTTTTAATATGGTCATTTCATGGATCATTTAGCTATTTGATTTTGAATTTTAGGACCCCTTTAGGTATAAAATAAAATAAAAATAAATGTATTTGATCAAATATAGAATTTGGCCTTTACTATATATTATAGCCCATAGAAACAGTCAAAAAAATGTATCATAAGGAATAATGTTTTGAAGTGTCTCCTATGTCTAGGAGATAAAAATAAGCTCAGGAAAAATATGTATTTACAAAAGTATGTGGACACCCCTTCAAATTAGTGGATTCGGCTATTTCAGCCACACCCGTTGCTGACAGGTGTATAAAATCGAGCACACCGCCATGCAATCTCCATAGACAAACATTGGCAGTAGAATGGCCTTACTGAAGAGCTCAGTGACTTTCAACATGGCACCGTCAAAGGATGCCACCTTTCCAACAAGTCAGTTTGTCAAATTTCTGCCCTGCTAGAGCTGCCCCTGTCAACTGTAAGTGCTGTTTAAGTGGAAAAGTCTAGGAGCAACAACGGCTCAGCTGCAAAGTGGTAGGCCACACAAGCTCACAGAACGGGACCGGTGAGTGCTGAAGTGCATAGCGTATAAAAAACGTCTGTCCTCGGTTGCAGCACTCACTACCGAGTTCCAAACTGCCTCTGGAAGCAACGTCAGTGGGAGCTGTCGTCGGGAGCTTCATGAAATGGGTTTCCATGGCCAAGCAGCTGCACACAAGCTTAAGATCACCATGCGCAATGCCAAGCATCGGCTGGAGTGTTGTAAAGCTCACCGCCATTGGACTCTGGAGCATTGGAAACGCGTTCTCTGGAGTGAGGAATTACGCTTCACCATCTGGCATTCCGACGGCCGAATCTTGGTTTGGTGGATGCCAGTAGAATGCTACCTGCCCCAATGCATAGTGCCAACTGTAAAGTTTGGTGGATGAGGAGTAATGGTCTGGGGCTGTTTTTCATGGTTCGGGCTAGGCCCCTTAATTCCAGTGGAGGGAAATCTTAACGCTACAGCAAACAATGACATTCTAGACGATTCTGTGCTTCCAACTTTGGGGAAGGCCCTTTCCTCTTTCAGCATGACAATGCCCTCGTGCACAAAGCGAGGTCCATACAGAAATGGTTTGTTGAGATCGGTGTGGAAGAACTTGACTGGCCTGCACAGAGCCCTGACCTCAACCCCATCGAACACCTTTGAGATTAATTGGAACACTGACTGCGAGCCAGGCCTAATCGCCCAACATCAGTGCCCGACCTCACTAATGCTCTTGTGGCTGAATGGAAGCAAGTCCCCGCAGTAATGTTCCAACATCTAGCAGAAAGCCTTCCCAGAAGAGTGGAGGCTGTTATAGCAGCAAAGGGGGGACCAACTCCATATTAATGCCCATGATTTTGAAATGAGATGTTCGACGAGCAGGTGTCCACATACTTTACATATTTAATTTTTATTAACGTTTTTTTTGGGTAGCCACAAAACTACCTCCATACTTCCATTCATTTACCTTCAGACGAGTCCCGTGACACGGACAACACCATTCTATAGTGGTCATATTAGTTTGTAGGCCAAACCGTTTTCGTTAGAAGACCAATTTTCGGGATGTCTCATGGTCTGACAACACCCTAGCTAGGCCACCTTCCACCGCAGATTTTGATGGGGATTTTTTTCATGTTACTTAGATTGCACCGGTGCGTCAATAGACTATAGGGGCTTAGTTTCTATTTACCAATAATGAGAAGGTTAGCGTTTTTCGTCATGAATCTTGTTCTGGAGGCAGCTCTGCAGAGTGGTCACTAGCACAGCCACAAAGCCATCAAATCTGATTGTAACCCTAACATTAACCACACTGATAACCAAAATGCCTAACCCTAACCTTAAATTAAGACCAAAAAGCAAATGTTTGTTTTCATGAATTTTTACAATACAGTTAATTTTGACTTTGCAGATGACCTATCTAAGGGGAAAACGCTCAGTTCTGCCTCCAGGACAAGACTCAATAAACATTAACCTGCCAATAATGAATCCATAATTTGCCACGATCTCATGACTGATCTGACAAATACTTGCTGTTTTGTTGCACACAGCTTCCCTGACACCATCAACACTTGGGGAAACAAAGTCCCATATTTCAAATCCTTTTAAAGAGGAATTGCACATTCTTGGGCTTGCCAGTCAGAAGGGCAAAAAAATGAAACGAACCTGAACTGCTATCATTATCTGATCATCATAATTGATTCTAAAAACACACTTTTAACAGACCAACAGATGCTAATGCTTAGTACCCCAGTGATCATCACTTTGGAAATGATAACCTCTTTCTGTTGACTGGCAACTGATTCTGAATATCAGACAAGGTAATTAGCCACGACTGTGGCCTAACAGGTCCCGATTGGAGCCCTGGGGGATGGGGAAGAAACCCAAATGGTACAATCCAGACTTGATTCACTTTAGAGCTCTGAAAGAGCTGAGTGTTTCTGTCAGTGCTGCAGATAAAGCCACATGACCTGTGAGGAGTTAGCGTGAGCTGGGCATATATTGAATTATGCTTTGCCTGACATTAACAGAGGCAAGGAAAATAAAGTAGACAGAGCTGGCTTGCTAAATCACAGACATGTGACTAGTGCGTTTGAAGGAACTCTCTGTAGAGAGTTGGCTGTTTATTGAAGGTCCTCCCCTCTGGAATCAGTTTTAGGTGGTTTTTCAAATTGAGAATGTTGAAGAAATTCTCATCACTCCTCATATAGACAGTTCCTCAACTACCCAGAGACAAAGAGAGCACTTTTGACCAGTGTTGGGGAAGCTACTTGGAAAATATAAGTTAATGGAAAACGTTTTCAAGATGTAACTTTCAAAATACAGAAATCATCCCCATATGATGCTGTGTTTTGCTAAATGCATTATATGGGGAGGAGTTCTGTATTTTGAAAACTTGATTGCTGACAAGCAAAACAGTTTGGGACTATGTCAACAATGGACTAATGAAACAAATATGAAAATATCGTTTTTTGGGTGAAATTTTCCTTTACGCTATGCTAAAGCTACCCTTAAGAAAAATATAGTTTGCTTAACTGAAGTTACTTTGAGAAAGTAGTTCACTACATCCAAACTACTTTGTGGAAAATTATCATATCTAAATCTGAAATTTCATAGAAATCAAATTGCAAGAACCGATCACTCTGGAGTCAGATGCTAACAGAATGTGTAATTTAGCCTATTAAACACAAAAACAATGTTTCAAGTGAAAGTTAAGCAGGTCTGATGCCAAAAATGAAAGGACATTATTGCCAACTTCACCTATATTTGATTTTTGCAAAAAAGTATTGTGTAGTTCCAGTAGTTAGCTACACCACTACATGGCAGAAAAGTTATTAACTACTGAAAACAATACCTAGATTTTAATTTAGTTAAACTACCACCAAGCTACTGCAAAATGTAGTTTAATTACTTGTAGTTCACTACTCCCCAACACTGCTTTTGACATACTGTATAATATACCACACTGTATGTCACTCACCATCTAGCTTGCTTACTCAGTGGTGATTGAGGAGTGACAACTTTCATAAAATAACCCCACGGCACTCTGCAATACATTTTCCATAAAAACCAGCAAAACACACCAACATGGGTTCTCTCATACCCTGACACTTCTCTAAAAGAGAGAGAACTTTTAAAATGAGAGAAACATAGATCAGTCTATTTGGTATTCAGTACCATTCATTACATATATGAGTTACATTGTATTAGAAAACGCATTATTAGTCATGCACAACTCTGTAGTTACCTACCTTATGCACTGGTAAGAAAGTGGTGAAGAACTTCTGTTGTTGTTGCACCCTGGCTGGCGGAAGGGCAAAGTGAAAGGGGAAGAGAGGCACATGGCCTTTAATTCACTTCTCTGAACCAGGAAGAGTTGCTTGAGAAGGAATTACTGATACTACCCATTCTGTAGATAATGGAGAGCATGGAGCGAATATTGTGCAAAGAAGGACAATCTAGTGAATGTTAGCTGTTCCCTTAGTTATGTTAACAGACTATAATTCATACCATTCAGGGCGTGATTTGTTCAGGATATACAGTAAATAGAGTGTAAATAATGGAATGTTTATGAGTGCCAATGAAAAATTGGTAACATGGTTTGATGCAAATCCAACCAATAATTGCAGTAGTAATGTTTTGTAGTGTATCATTCGGTCATCGACTCTTATCAAGAACATAAGAATTACTGTGGTCTGGCTTTTTGAAGGAAGACTGGTATTTTTGCAATACCCTAAGCTTTTGATTGTGATAATGAATAACCATCCAAGCAACCAAAACTGGCTTGTGGAAATGAGATATTTTCAGGATGTAAAAATGGCTTATTTTGGTTACAGTAGATGACAGTCTAACACTATCTGCCCATCATTTCTGAGTCCATCTCTGGTGTCCGGAGTACCATTTGTAAAACAATTAAACCATTAGGTATATGTGCTCTTAATCACACATGATTGCTTTAGCCTAATAGATAATAGAATACGTTATTTGTAAATATTAATCTAGACTTTCTTGTTACCTCACTAATGTGCCCACCAGGTACATCAGCACATTGAAGGACTGGTGGTCTGGGTGACAATGGTAACAATATGTATGGTATGAGATTATTTCAGAGTATCAGGTTTTAATTCAATGAAAATATCATACTAAGCAAACATCAAGATGACCGAAATGATGACTGAAAATACACTGCTCAAAAAAATAAAGGGAACACTTAAACAACACATCCTAGATCTGAATGAATGAAATAATCTTATTAAATACTTTTTATAGTTGAATGAGCTGACAACAAAATCACACAAAAATTATCAATGGAAATCAAATGTATCAACCCATGGAGGTCTGGATTTGGAGTCACCCTCAAAATTAAAGTGGAAAACCACACTACAGGCTGATCCAACTTTGATGTAATGTCCTTAAAACAAGTCAAAATGAGGCGCAGTACTGTGTGTGGCCTCCACGTGCCTGTATGACCTCCCTACAACGCCTGGGCATGCTCCTGATGAGGTGGCGGATGGTCTCCTGAGGGATCTCCTCCCAGACCTGGACTAAAGCATCCGCCAACTCCTGGACAGTCTGTGGTGCAACGTGGCGTTGGTGGATGGAGCGAGACATGATGTCCCAGATGTGCTCAATTGGATTCAGGTCTGGGGAACGGGCGGGCCAGTCCATAGCATCAATGCCTTCCTCTTGCAGGAACTGCTGACACACTCCAGCCACATGAGGTCTAGCATTGTCTTGCATTAGGAGGAACCCAGGGCCAACCGCACCAGCATATGGTCTCACAAGGGGTCTGAGGATGTCATCTCGGTACCTAATGGCAGTCAGGCTACCTCTGGCGAGTACATGGAGGGCTGTGCGGCCCCCCAATGAAATGCCACCCCACACCATGACTGACCCACCGCCAAACCGGTCATGCTGGAGGATGTTGCAGGCAGCAGAATGTTCTCCACGGCGTCTCCAGACTCTGTCACGTCTGTCACATGTGCTCAGTGTGAACCTGCTTTCATCTGTGAAGAGCACAGGGCGCCGGTGGCGAATTTGCCAATCTTGGTGTTCTCTGGCAAATGCCAAATGTCCTGCACGGTGTTGGGCTGTAAGCACAACCCCCACCTGTGGACGTCGGGCCCTCATACCACCCTCATGGAGTCTGTTTCTGACCGTTTGAGCAGACACATGCACATTTGTGGCCTGCTGGAGGTCATTTTGCAGGACTCTGGCAGTGCTCCTCCTGCTCCTCCTTGCACAAAGGCGGAGGTAGCGGTCCTGCTGCTGGGTTGTTGCCCTCCTACGGCCTCCTTCACGTCTGCTGATGTACTGGCCTGTCTCCTGGTAGCGCCTCCATGCTCTGGAAACTACGCTGACAGACACAGCAAACCTTCTTGCCACAGCTCGCATTGATGTGCCATCCTGGATGATCTGCACTACCTGAGCCACTTGTGTGGGTTGTAGACTCCGTCTCATGCTACCACTAGAGTGAAAGCACCGCCAGCATTCAAAAGTGACCAAAGCATCAGCCAGGAAGCATAGGAACTGAGAAGTGGTCTATGGTCACCACCTGCAGAACCACTTCTTTATTGGGGGTGTCTTGCTAATTGCCTATAATTTCCACCTGTTGTCTATTCCATTTGCACAACAGCATGTGAAATGTATTGTCAATCAGTGTTACTTCCTAAGTGGACAGTTTGATTTCACAGAAGTGTGATTGACTTGGAGTTACATTGTGTTGTTTAAGTGTTCCCTTTATTTTTTTGAGCAGTGTATATGTAAAATAGGGATATCAGCAACAAACTAAAAGACAGTCATGTCTCCAGGGAAACTCATAATTAGGAATAATTATCGCTCTATAATTAATTTCACAGTACTAAAGTACTAAAACTTTTACTTTTACTCCACTACATTCCTAAAGAAATATGTACTTTTTACTCCCATACATTTTCCCTGACATCCAAAGTACTAGTAACATTTTGAATGCTCAGGCAGGACAGCAATATGGTCCAATTCAAGCACCTATCAATATAACACGTTGTCATCCCTACTGCCTCTGATCTGTCGGACTCACTAAACACATACTGTGTTTGGAAATTATGTCTGAGTGTTGGAGTGTGCCCGTCTGTCCATAATTTAAAAAAACAAGAACATCGTTCCTTATGGTTTGCTTAATATAACGAATTTGATGTATAGCATTTACTTGGAGTACTTTTTTCCACAACTGTACTTAAGTATATTTAAAACCAGATACTTTTAGACTTTTACTCAAGTAGGATTTTACTGGGTGACTTTCACTTTTACTTGAGTCATTTCCTATTAAGGTATCTTTACTTTTACTCAAATATGACAATTTTGTACTTTTTCCAACACTGCTTACTTGGAAGATTTTGAATGAAGCACCCAGAGGTATGCTTTCTAGATCATTGTGTACAGTTTTGGGTCAAAATAGGCTTTTTTGCTTCTACATGTGGAATTTCATAAATCAGTATTGTATCCATGTTGGAAACTCTTCTCTGAAATATTGTGTATTTATTCAGACACTCACTGAGTAACATCATTGAATACCTTAATTTAAGGTTAATATTTCAACAGAAATGAAGCGATTAAACATCACAACAAGAACTTGAACAAGTCTCCAAGACATGATACTCTATCAGAGTATAGGATACACAGGTACTGTCTTTATAAAAGACAACATAATTGTTTAAAATAAACAAGGGTTTTTCAATGCAATATACAAAATATTCAACTAATGTGAGCAACATTTTCTGAAATAAAGTCTGATCTTAAAACAGATCAAATATTACTAATCACAGAGTGATGATAACAGGTATAATACCCAGTTTGGGTAAATAATCCTCCTGGAGGAACATTGATGCTGTAGCACAGGTTGATCCATATCAAATATATAACTGATACATGCTTCACAGAAGATGCTCAATACAATGTTAATATGACTATATCACTACACAAATGTGGTGGTTAAAAGAAAAGACTCATATTTTGACCTTAAAAACAGATCAATCATAGACAATCACAAACCGATTGATGATATAACACCTATTTTGGTTAAACGGTTGTCATGAAGGACAATTCAAGTTATATAAACACATTATCAATATAATCAACATGTTTCACAAAACATTAATGTTATTATTTCAATTATCGATTTGATCATTTTCTTAGAAAAACGTTTTAACTTGTTCATTACAACTTTAATTAAACGGCTCACTGCAAGACTTTAAAAACCTTCTGCAAAAGAAGAAGAAGAATAAAATATCTTCCTATTCTCATTACTGTCCATGACATTCATGTCAGACAATAATTGTCCATTGTGATTGTCTTAGAGTGAAGCTCCAGTATGTAGGACTCTACCAGGGCCTCCAGAGGGCAATGTTGACTGGACCTTTCTCTTTGCTGATGCTGTGCTGGGCTGGGGAGCTCAGCTGAGGCAGGTCACCCTCCCTCCTGTTCTTATCAGAGGATGGCTGCAGGCTCTGGAAGTGGCTCAGCATTCTTCTCTGGGACTGTGTATTCAGCTCATCTTTAGACAGGAAGTAAACAATCTCTTGGACACACCTGGAGTAACCCTGATTGACAGGTGCTGAGCAGGAGGAGGAGCTCACTGGCTGGTTCTGTTGCTGTCATCTCAGGAAGCAAACTGTCATCTCCAGGATGTCGGCTTTGTCCAGCTTGGAGTCAGGCTGCTGGTTGAGGATCTCTGGACCCAGGAGAGACTTGAGCTGCTCAATGCTGTTGCTGATACGATATCTGCGTAACTTCTTCACCACTGTCTTTCTTAGCTGCAAGAAGAGACGAGGAGAGGCATTAATAACCTTATTCTGGTGTTTGACATTACTGAAACAGATAAACAATCAATCAAATGTAATACATTTCCATTGAATCTTCAATTTACCTTGTTTGTCAGAGTCAGGTGCTCCTTAGAGTAGATCATAGCTGAAGTGATTGTAGGTGCCATGGCTGGATCTCTGTGCTGTAGAGGTCTCAGTGTTGAGAGAATCTGATCTCTACTGGCTTCATCTCTCCTATATATAGTCCCAAATCTGCATATGAATGTGTGGGTCTTGGGCTTGTTGGAGTTTCTCACAGTCTGTAGCCAATGGGTGAGCTTGGGAGGACAATGAAGAGTGTGAAGCTGCCACATCCTCAGTGTTCTTAATGCTGGGGGACAATGGTCACGTCTCAGGGGAACAGGTGGAGGGGTGGGGGGTGATGGAGAGAGACTCACAGAGCGCTGTGTGAATCTGGGAAAGTGGTGACCCCCAGATCTGCTGCCTGATGTTGGGATCAATGACACTGACAGAGCACACGCTCATCATTACAACTTCCACGTGTGAGACGGACAGTAATCCTCTAAAGTAAAACAGATGCTGTTGCCCAAGTCCTTTTGATTGTTGTTGTTGAATACCATTGTTTCTGTTACATTGCAGGTTCAGTCACATTTAAACACTTGAAGATGAGTTTGACCTCTCTGATTGCACTGTTAATAATGTGTTGTGGTCTGCTCCAGTTTCATTTCAAGGTAGGGGTGCTTATCAAATCCTGTTTGAATCACAGTTCACAGGCTATCCTTGGTCAAATTGGCTTCATTCCTTTTACAAATGTGTGTTAAATACAAAATCCCCCCCAATCATAGTACTCCGACTATTGAAGATAAATTATAAGACCATTTAAGTGACTTCCAATTGATAAGGATTGAACTGATCGATTATTGGCTTTCTGCACAGGAGGTTGGTGGAACCTTAATTGGGGAGGACGGGCTCATGGTAATGACAGGAGCGGAATCAGTGGAATGGTATCAAATACATCCAACACATGGTTTCCAGGTGTTTGATGCCATTCCATTTGCTCTGTTCTGGCCATTATTATGAGCCGTTCTCCCCTCAGCAGCCTCCTGTGATTTTCTCATTAGAGAGAACAAGTATCAGCACACATTCACTACTTCTGTATTTTGAGAGTGGAGGGAGTCCAGAGGTAACAGATGTGTCCTCTGTCTTAAGGCTACTGGTCAGTGTGAGTACAGAGCTGATCTGAGTTTCCCACACTGAGTCCTGTGTGCGGTGATCAATGCATTACAAAAGCTGCTCAGTGGACCATTAGTGACAGCTATTGGCTCTGTTTTGAATTATAGACAGAGGCTGACATCACAGACCATCTGGATTCTGGAGGGAAACACCATAACACTGGCTTTAATCTTTAAAATGTGCTGCAAAACATATACTGTATCTGTGTACATTTAGAACATGTTTTATTTAATTTACAATGATTTTGGCTTTTATGTTCATGTTTATGTTCAACTTGCTTTATATGTTTACTTTCAGATTGTGATTTTGCAGAAGCTTCATATTCAAATTACAACATTTTTGGTTATATGCACAGTTCCACACAAATGTGGTTATAGATATGTCTTCATTCAGCTATCACATCATAGGAAGACAGAATAGATGGAAGAAGAAAGATACCTTTTATATCCTGGGAAAACTGATGTATTCAGCTATTTTTTAATTCCCTTCTATTAGTGTGCCTATTCCCCAGTGGCTCTGGGTGTTCCCCAGACAGCCAGGTGCTGGTGGGACTGATGATGATGACACTCAACTGTGACTCTGCTCTCCAGAGCTTTCCCACACTTTGCCCATTGAGAGAGTTTCCACTAAACAATCGAAGTGTGCCTTGTTAAATGATCATTAATCTTCCCATCAAGCCCTTGGGGGTAAAAAGGGAATGACTTAAATATATCTCATAAGAAACAGATAGACTCACTGTTACAGAGAATCAATTCAACCTGTAAGTGTGTTTATGTACACAAACAAATTAATAAAAACTGGATTACAACAAGTAAGTAAGAACAACTTCTCATTTACAACTGCGACCTGGCCAAGATAAAGCAAAGCAGTGCGATAAAAATAACAACACAGAGTTACATATGGGGTAAACAAAACATAATGTCAAAAATACAAACAGAATATATATATACAGTGTGTGCGAATGTAGTATGTTATGGAGGTAAGGCAATAAATAGGCCATAGTGCAAAATAGTTACAATTTCGTATTAACACTGGAATGATAGATGTGCAAAAGATGATGTGCAAATAGAGATACTGGGGTGCAAATTAGCAAAAATAAATAACAATATGGGAATGAGGTAGTTGGGTGGGCTAATTTCAGAATGGCTGTGTACAGGTGCAGTGATCGGTAAGCTGCTCTGACAACTGACGCTTAAAGTTAGTGAGGGAGATAAGAGTCTCCAGCTTCAGAGATTTTTGCAGTTCGTTCCAGTCATTGGCAGCAGAGAACTGGAAGGAATGGCGGCCAAATGAGGTGTTGGTACTGCTCAAATGTGCTCCAAAAAAGCTAATGATCAAAATATGATGTCTTGAACCTTTTGGGAAAATGTATACATTGTATATTTGATCAGATATCTTCCTGCAAGAAACAAAATGCAGGGCATTTATGGGATCATTAGAGAGAGATCCATTTATTTCCCTATAGAGACCCAGACTCTAACCTCTGACAGTCCAGGGTAGAGGTCCCAGTCTATTGTCCCAAAGGGGCTCTGTGAGTGAGTTCTCCTCGGTTTCCCACACTCTCTCTCCATTCACTGCTTTCAATAGAGGAACAATAGAAGTGTGTCTTATTACACATCACATTAGCTATTGAGTTTGAGGGGCACAGCTGCCCTAAACGTTTAAAGCACTGAAATGACAGTACTAGTTTTGGCCCAACACCTGGAATCACTGGTATATCATGTACAAACTAAAAATCATGGAATGCAAATGCTATTGCAATACGTTCTGATATACTTAAAATGAATTTATGTAAAACAGGTGTTTCAGTTAAAACAACACAGCCATGTCTCTGGGAACTCATATGACCAATTATAAACAGCCAAATCGTTAGTTAGTAATTTCTGACTCCATCAAACTAATCATGTGAATTAATAAATTATGGCTAGAAATGTATTTTATTTTACTCTGTAGATTTTGAACGAAGCACCAAGAGGTGAATGATATACCTGTATAGTGTCATTCTTTCAAGATAATTTTTTACAGTCTTGGCTCAAAGTAGGCTTTTTCTTATTTTTCCCTATATACTGTAGTCTAGCTAGTAGCTATATGTGGAATATAAAAAAAATGTAAAATGTAATGTAAATGAATATCATAAGTCAGCAATGTAACTCTAATGGAAGCGTATTTCAGTGGAGAAAAGAGTGAAGTAACAGACAATAATATTTCATTTGATGATTTGTGTATTTATTTTGACTGACTCAATGAGTCACACCATCAATACCTTAACGTAAGGTAAATATTTCAAGAGAAATAGTGATTAAACATCACAACAAGAACTTGAACAAATCTCCAAAGACATGATACTCTATCAGAGAATAGGATACAAAGTTACTGTCTTTATAAAAGAAAACATAATTGTTTAAAATAAACAAGGGTTTTTCAATTAGACATTTGTTCTCCCATTTGCAATAAACACATTATTCAAATAATGTAAGTGACAATTTCACAAATTAGGTATAATCTTAAAACATATCAAATATTACTAATCACAGAGTGATGATAACAGGTATAAAACCCAGTTTGGGTAAATAATCCTCCTGGAGGAACATTGATGCTGTAGCTCAAGTTGATCCATATCAAATATATAACTGATACATGCTTCACAGAAGATGCTCAATACAATGTTAATATGACTATATCACTACACAAATGTAGTGGTAAAACAAATGACTGATATTTTGACCTTAAAAACAGATCAATCATAGACAATCACAAACCGATTGATGATATAACACCCATTTTGGTTTAAAGGATCTCATGGAGGACAATTAAAGTTATTGTTGATCATGAATATAAACACATGATCAATATAATCAACACGTTTCACAAAACATAAAGGTTATGATGATTTCAATTAACACTACAAAAATGTAGTTTTCATAGATCCAATTGTTTTCTTGGAAAACCTTTTTAACTTCAGTTCAACTGAAATGAAGTGTCTCAATCACAGCAAGACTTTTAAAAACTCCTGCATAAGCAGAGGATGAAGAAGACATTTTTCTTATACTCATTACTGTCCATTAAATTAATCTTAGACCAACATGGTCTATCCATTGTGTTTTGAGTGGAGCTCCAGTCTGTAGGACTCTACCATGGCCTCCAGAGGGAGCTGTTGACAGGACTCTTCTCTTTGCTGATGCTGTGCTGGGCTGGGGAGCTCAGCGGAGGCAGGTCACCCTCCCTGCTGTTCTTATCAGAGGATGGCTGCGGGCTCTGGAAGTGGCTCAGTAGTCTTCTCTGGGAACTGTGTATTCAGCTCATCTTTAGACAGGAAGTGAACAATCTCTTGGACACACCTGGAGTAACCCTGATTGACAGGTGCTGAGCTGGAAGAGGAGCTCACTGGCTGGTTCTGTTGCTGTTGTCTCAGGAAGCTAACTGTCATCTCCAGGATGTCGGCTTTGTCCAGCTTGGAGTCGGGCTGCTGGTTGAGGATCTCTGGAACCAGGAGAGACTTGAGTTGCTCAATGCTGTTGTTGATACGATCTCTGCGTAACTTCTCCACCACTGGCTTTCTTAGCTGCAAGAAGAGACGAGGAGAGGCATTAATAACCTTATTCTGGTGTATGACATTATTGAAACAAATAAGCAATCAATCAATGCAATTGAATAAATGTCATTGAATTTGAATCTTCAATTTACCTTGTTTGTCAGAGTCAGGTGCTCCTTAGAGTAGATCATATCTGAAGTTATTGTAGGTGCCATGGCTGGATCTCTGTGCTGTACAGGTCTCAGTGTTGAGAGAATCTGATCTCTACTGGCTTCATCTCTCCTATATATAGTCCCAAATCTGCATATGAATGTGTGGGTCTTGGGCTTGTTGGAGTTTCTCACAGTCTTTAGCCAATGGGTGAGCTTGGGAGGACAATGAAGAGTGTGAAGCTGCCACATGCTCAGTATTCTTATTGCTGGGGGACAATGGTCACGTCTCAGGGGAACAGGTGGAGGGGTGGGGGTGATGGAGAGAGACTCACAGAGCGCTGTGTGAATCTGGGAAAGTGGTGACCCACAGATCTGCTGCCTGATGTTGGGATCAATGACATTGACAGAGCACACGCTCATCATTACAACTTACACGTGTGAGACGGACACAGATTCTCGAATAAAACGAACAGTGTTATTAATCCCCACCTATAAGGACATTGTTGAATGTAGTATTCTGTATCCACGCTTCATCACTGATTTAGAAATATTTTATTATTTCACTATTTATATTAATTCTGATATTAATGAATGACTCTGCAATATGGTTTTACATTGCACATACCGGTAGTTATATTTAACAATATGATGATATATGACAATGTGTCACCATTTTCATTCCTGTTTAATTTCATGCATGTTTGTCCTTTCAGTTAGTCAGAATGTTTTGGAATATATACGATTTTATTCAACATTAACATGTGAGTGGATAATGAATATCTTTATTTTCAGTATTTTAGAGGTAATCCATATCAATAGCAAGGGGTCTCTTAACTCAATAGTAGAAGTTATATGGTCAAGCATTCTGGAGTTCAAATGTAGCAGATGTGTTCTCTGTCTTGAGGCTACTGGTCAGTGTGAGTAGAGAGCTGATCTGAGTTTCCCACACTGAGTCCTGTGTGCTGTGATCAATGCACTACAAAAGCTGCTCAGTGGACCATTAGTGACGATTGTTGGCTCTGTGTTGTACTATAGACAGAGGCTGACATCACAGACCTTCTGGGTTTTGGAGGGAAAGATCAGCCCTGGCAAGAATATACTAACAAGACACACCTTTATACATACAAATTCATCCTACAATGGCATAGAACACATAATAATATGCCATTTAGCAGACACTTTTATCCAAAGCACCTTACCGATCCAGAGCACCTTACCAGAGCACCTTACCGATCACTGCACCTGTACACAGCCCATCTGAAATTAGCCCACCCAACTACCTCATCCCTATATTGTTATTTATTTTGCTCTTTTGCACCCCAGTATCTCTATTTGCACATAATCTCTTGCACATCTAGCATTCTAGTGTTAATACTATTGTAATTATTTTGCACTATAGCCTATTTATTGCCTTACCTCCATAACTTGCTACATTTGCACACACTGTATATATATTTTCTGTTTTATTTTTGACTTTATGTTTTTTACCCCATATGTAACTCTGTGTTGTTTTTATCGCACTGCTTTGCTTTATCTTGGCCAGGTCGCAGTTGTAAATGAGAACTTGTTCTCAACTGGCTTACCTGGTTAAATAAAGGTGAAAAAAAAAAAAAAAAAAAAAAAAGAATCTTACAGTCATGCGTGCATACATAATTTTTTTTGTGTGTGGGTGGTCCTGGGGATCGAACCCACTACCTTGGCGTTACAAGAACCGTGCTCTACCAGCTGAGCTACAGAGGACCACATGAGTATGAGAACTCTTTGAAAATTATTGTCTGTGATTTGTCACGTTATAAATCGACACAGGGTTAACTTTTGTATGCCTAAGTGGAATTGAGAGCTGTTCACTGTTTATCACACAAACAACTGAACTACATGAATGTACTGAATAAAACTCTGTCCATCATCAAGATAGAAAAAGCCTATCATAACTTGGATATTTAATAATTATTGAATTTCCCTCATAAGAAAGTGTAAGAAATAACCCAAAATACCCCCTCCCACCCATTCTATCCACTGAACAATAGAAGTGTGCATATTACCCATAGAGACTCACAGGTGCTGGTGGGACTGATGATCCTGATGACACTAAACTGTGAATCTTCTCTCCAGAGCTTTCCCACACTTTGCCCATTGAGAGAGTTTCCACTAAACAATAGAAGTGTGCCTTGTTAAATGATCATTAATCTCTACACAAGCAGTTCCTATCAAGCAGTTGGGGATGAAGCTCATTACAAAAATATTTATCTTAAGCAACAGATAAATACTCATTGTTACAGCGAATCAATTGAAGCTCTATGTGTTTGTGCACACAAACAAATAGCATGTTTTCAACCATGCCCCACAAACAAACAGAATAAAAACTGCATTAATTGCATTCATCTTGAAGAAGATGCAAGTACTGCCTAAAAGTGCATTAAAAATGCAAGTACAAAAAATTGATATCTTGAACTTTTATTAGAAAAATATGCTTTAGCAGATTTCTAATTTCAAGATCCAAATACTGAACATTAAATGTTGTGGGATTATCAGAAATATATTGATTAAATTCTCCATAGAGACCCAGACCCCCTCTCTAACCTCTGACAGTCCAGGTAGAGGTCCCAGTCTATTGTCCCAAAGGGGCTCTGTGAGTGAGTTCTCCTCGGTTTCCCACACTCTCCCTCCATTCACTGCTTTCAATAGAGGAACAATAGAAGTGTGTCTTATTACACATAATATTATGCGGCACGGCAGCCCTAAACTTTTAGAGCACTAAGATGACGGCAGCAGTTTTGGCCTAACACCTTGAATCACTGGTATATCATGTACAAACTAAAAATCATGGAATGCAAATGCTTTTGCAATACGTTCTGATATACCTAAAATGAATTAATGTAAATCAGGTATTTCAGTAAAAACAATAATATAATAATAATAATATGCCATTTAGCAGACGCTTTTATCCAAAGCGACTTACAGTCATGCGTGCATACATTTTTTTTTTTTTGTATATGGGTGGTCCCGGGGTTCGACCCCACTACCTTGGCGTTACAAGCGCCGTGCTCTACCAGCTGAGCTACAGAGGACCACAACAACACAGCCACAACACAGCCATGTCTCTGGGAACTCATATGACCAATTATAAACAGCCAAATCGTTAGTTAGTCATTTCTGACTCCATCAAACTAATCATGTGAATTAATAAATTATGGCTAGAAATGTATTTTATTTTACTCTGTAGATTTTTAACGAAGCACCAAGAGGTGAATGATATACCTGTATTCTTTCAAGATCATTTTTTACAGTCTTGGCTCAAAGTAGGCTTTTTCTTATTTTTCCCTATATACTGTAGTCTAGCTAGTAGCTATATGTGGAATATCATAAGTCAGCAATGTAACTCTATTGGAAGCGTATTTCAGTGGAGAAAAGAGTGAAGTAACAGACAATAATATTTCATTTGATGATTTGTGTATTTATTTTGACTGACTCAATGAGTCACACCATCAATACCTTAACGTAAGGTAAATATTTCAAGAGAAATAGTGATTAAACATCACAACAAGAACTTGAACAAATCTCCAAGACATGATACTCTATCAGAGAATAGGATACAAAGTTACTGTCTTTATAAAAGAAAACATAATTGTTTAAAATAAACAAGGGTTTTTCAATTAGACATTTGTTCTCCCATTTGCAATAAACACATCATTCAAATAATGTAAGTGACAATTTCACAAATTAGGTATAATCTTAAAACAGATCAAATATTGCTAATCACAGAGTGATGATAACAGGTATAAAACCCAGTTTGGGTAAATAATCCTCCTGGAGGAACATTGATGCTGTAGCTCAAGTTGATCCATATCAAATATATAACTGATACATGCTTCACAGAAGATGCTCAATACAATGTTAATATGACTATATCACTACACAAATGTAGTGGTAAAACAAATGACTGATATTTTGACCTTAAAAACAGATCAATCATAGACAATCACAAACCGATTGATGATATAACACCCATTTTGGTTTAAAGGATCTCATGGAGGACAATTAAAGTTATTGTTGATCATGAATATAAACACATGATCAATATAATCAACACGTTTCACAAAACATAAAGGTTATGATGATTTCAATTAACACTACAAAAATGTAGTTTTCATAGATCCAATTGTTTTCTTGGAAAACCTTTTTAACTTCAGTTCAACTGAAATGAAGTGTCTCAATCACAGCAAGACTTTTAAAAACTCCTGCATAAGCAGAGGATGAAGAAGACATTTTTCTTATACTCATTACTGTCCATTAAATTAATCTTAGACCAACATGGTCTATCCATTGTGTTTTGAGTGGAGCTCCAGTCTGTAGGACTCTACCAGGGCCTCCAGAGGGAGCTGTTGACAGGACTCTTCTCTTTGCTGATGCTGTGCTGGGCTGGGGAGCTCAGCGGAGGCAGGTCACCCTCCCTCCTGTTCTTATCAGAGGATGGCTGCGGGCTCTGGAAGTGGCTCAGTAGTCTTCTCTGGAACTGTGTATTCAGCTCATCTTTAGACAGGAAGTGAACAATCTCTTGGACACACCTGGAGTAACCCTGATTGACAGGTGCTGAGCTGGAGGAGGAGCTCACTGGCTGGTTCTGTTGCTGTTGTCTCAGGAAGCAAACTGTCATCTCCAGGATGTCGGCTTTGTCCAGCTTGGAGTCGGGCTGCTGGTTGAGGATCTCTGGAACCAGGAGAGACTTGAGTTGCTCAATGCTGTTGTTGATACGATCTCTGCGTAACTTCTCCACCACTGGCTTTCTTAGCTGCAAGAAGAGACGAGGAGAGGCATTAATAACCTTATTCTGGTGTATGACATTATTGAAACAAATAAGCAATCAATCAATGCAATTGAATAAATGTCATTGAATTTGAATCTTCAATTTACCTTGTTTGTCAGAGTCAGGTGCTCCTTAGAGTAGATCATATCTGAAGTGATTGTAGGTGCCATGGCTGGATCTCTGTGCTGTACAGGTCTCAGTGTTGAGAGAATCTGATCTCTACTGGCTTCATCTCTCCTATATATAGTCCCAAATCTGCATATGAATGTGTGGGTCTTGGGCTTGTTGGAGTTTCTCACAGTCTTTAGCCAATGGGTGAGCTTGGGAGGACAATGAAGAGTGTGGAGCTGCCACATGCTCAGTATTCTTATTGCTGGGGGACAATGGTCACGTCTCAGGGGAACAGGTGGAGGGGTGGGGGTGATGGAGAGAGACTCACAGAGCGCTGTGTGAATCTGGGAAAGTGGTGACCCACAGATCTGCTGCCTGATGTTGGGATCAATGACATTGACAGAGCACACGCTCATCATTACAACTTACACGTGTGAGACGGACACAGATTCTCGAATAAAACGAACAGTGTTATTAATCCCCACCTATAAGGACATTGTTGAATGTAGTATTCTGTATCCACGCTTCATCACTGATTTAGGCATATTTTATTATTTCACTATTTATATTAACTCTGATATTAATGAATGACTCTGCAATATGGTTTTACATTGCACATACCGGTAGTTATATTTAACAATATGATGATATATGACAATGTGTCACCATTTTCATTCCTGTTTAATTTCATGCATGTTTGTCCTTTCAGTTAGTCAGAATGTTTTGGAATATATACGATTTTATTCAACATTAACATGTGAGTGGATAATGAATATCTTTATTTTCAGTATTTTAGAGGTAATCCATATCAATAGCAAGGGGTCTCTTAACTCAATAGTAGAAGTTATATGGTCAAGCATTCTGGAGTTCAAATGTAGCAGATGTGTTCTCTGTCTTGAGGCTACTGGTCAGTGTGAGTAGAGAGCTGATCTGAGTTTCCCACACTGAGTCCTGTGTGCTGTGATCAATGCACTACAAAAGCTACTCAGTGGACCATTAGTGACGATTGTTGGCTCTGTGTTGTACTATAGACAGAGGCTGACATCACAGACCTTCTGGGTTTTGGAGGGAAAGATCAGCCCTGGCAAGAATATACTAACAAGACACACCTTTATACATACAAATTCATCCTACAATGGCATAGAACACATAATAATATGCCATTTAGCAGACACTTTTATCCAAAGCACCTTACCGATCCAGAGCACCTTACCAGAGCACCTTACCGATCACTGCACCTGTACACAGCCCATCTGAAATTAGCCCACCCAACTACCTCATCCCTATATTGTTATTTATTTTGCTCTTTTGCACCCCAGTATCTCTATTTGCACATAATCTCTTGCACATCTAGCATTCCAGTGTTAATACTATTGTAATTATTTTGCACTATAGCCTATTTATTGCCTTACCTCCATAACTTGCTACATTTGCACACACTGTATATATATTTTCTGTTTTATTTTTGACTTTATGTTTTTTACCCCATATGTAACTCTGTGTTGTTTTTATCGCACTGCTTTGCTTTATCTTGGCCAGGTCGCAGTTGTAAATGAGAACTTGTTCTCAACTGGCTTACCTGGTTAAATAAAGGTGAAATAAAAAAATTAAAATAAAAAAAAGCATCTTACAGTCATGCGTGCATACATAATTTTTTTTGTGTGTGGGTGGTCCTGGGGATCGAACCCACTACCTTGGCGTTACAAGAACCGTGCTCTACCAGCTGAGCTACAGAGGACCACATGATTATGAGAACTCTTTGAAAATTATTGTCTGTGATTTGTCACGTTATAAATCGACACAGGGTTAACTTTTGTATGCCTAAGTGGAATTGAGAGCTGTTCACTGTTTATCACACAAACAACTGAACTACATGAATGTACTGAATAAAACTCTGTCCATCATCAAGATAGAAAAAGCCTATCATAACTTGGATATTTAATAATTATTGAATTTCCCTCATAAGAAAGTGTAAGAAATAACCCAAAATACCCCCTCCCACCCATTCTATCCACTGAACAATAGAAGTGTGCATATTACCCATAGAGACTCACAGGTGCTGGTGGGACTGATGATCCTGATGACACTAAACTGTGAATCTTCTCTCCAGAGCTTTCCCACACTTTGCCCATTGAGAGAGTTTCCACTAAACAATAGAAGTGTGCCTTGTTGAATGCTAATTAATCTCTACACAAGCAGTTCCTATCAAGCCCTTGGGGGTGAAGTTCATTACAAAAAATATTTATCTTAAGCAACAGATAAATACTCATTGTTACAGCGAATCAATTGAAGCTCTATGTGTTTGTGCACACAAACAAATAGCATGTTTTCAACCATGCCCCACAAACAAACAGAATAAAAACTGCATTAATTGCATTAATCTTGAAGAAGATGCAAGTACTGCCTAAAAGTGTATTAAAAATGCAAGTACAAAAAAATTGATATCTTGAACTTTTATTAGAAAAATATGCTTTAGCAGATTTCTAATTTCAAGATCCAAATACTGAACATTAAATGTTTGGGATTATCAGAAATATATTGATTAAATTCCCCATAGAGACCCAGACCCCCTCTCTAACCTCTGACAGTCCAGGTAGAGGTCCCAGTCTATTGTCCCAAAGGGGCTCTGTGAGTGAGTTCTCCTCGGTTTCCCACACTCTCTCTCCATTCACTGCTTTCAATAGAGGAACAATAGAAGTGTGTCTTATTACACATAATATTATGCGGCACGGCAGCCCTAAACTTTTAGAGCACTAAGATGACGGCAGCAGTTTTGGCCTAACACCTTGAATCACTGGTATATCATGTACAAACTAAAAATCATGGAATGCAAATGCTTTTGCAATACGTTCTGATATACCTAAAATGAATGAATGTAAATCAGGTGTTTCAGTAAAAACAACACAGCCATGTCTCTGGGAACTCATATGACCAATTATAAACAGCCAAATCGTTAGTTAGTCATTTCTGACTCCATCAAACTAATCATGTGAATTAATAAATTATGGCTAGAAATGTATTTTATTTTACTCTGTAGATTTTTAACGAAGCACCAAGAGGTGAATGATATACCTGTATAGTGTCATTCTTTCAAGATCATTTTTTACAGTCTTGGCTCAAAGTAGGCTTTTTCTTATTTTTCCCTATATACTGTAGTCTAGCTAGTAGCTATATGTGGAATATCATAAGTCAGCAATGTAACTCTATTGGAAGCGTATTTCAGTGGAGAAAAGAGTGAAGTAACAGACAATAATATTTCATTTGATGATTTGTGTATTTATTTTGACTGACTCAATGAGTCACACCATCAATACCTTAACGTAAAGTAAATATTTCAAGAGGAATAGTGATTAAACATCACAACAAGAACTTGAACAAATGTCCAAGACATGATACTCTATCAGAGAATAGGATACAAAGTTACTGTCTTTATAAAAGAAAACATAATTGTTTAAAATAAATGAGGGTTTTTCAATTAGACATTTGTTCTCCCACTTGCAATAAACACATTATTCAAATAATGTGAGTGACAATTTCACAAATAAAGTCTAATCTTAAAACAGATCAAATATTGCTAATCACAGAGTGATGATAACAGGTATAAAACCCAGTTTAGGTAAATAATCCTCCTGGAGGAACATTGATGCTGTAGCTCAAGTTGATCAATATCAAATATATAACTGATACATGCTTCACAGAAGATGCTCAATACAATGTTAATATGACTATATCACTACACAAATGTAGTGGTAAAACAAATGACTGATATTTTGACCTTAAAAACAGATCAATCATAGACAATCACAAACCGATTGATGATATAACACCCATTTTGGTTTAAAGGATCTCATGGAGGACAATTAAAGTTATTGTTGATCATGAATATAAACACATGATCAATATAATCAACACGTTTCACAAAACATAAAGGTTATGATGATTTCAATTAACACTACAAAAATGTAGTTTTCATAGATCCAATTGTTTTCTTGGAAAACCTTTTTAACTTCAGTTCAACTGAAATGAAGTGTCTCAATCACAGCAAGACTTTTAAAAACTCCTGCATAAGCAGAGGATGAAGAAGACATTTTTCTTATACTCATTACTGTCCATTAAATTCATCTTAGACCAACATGGTCTATCCATTGTGTTTTGAGTGGAGCTCCAGTCTGTAGGACTCTACCAGGGCCTCCAGAGGGAGCTGTTGACAGGACTCTTCTCTTTGCTGATGCTGTGCTGGGCTGGGGAGCTCAGCGGAGGCAGGTCAATCTCCCTGCTGTTCTTATCAGAGGATGGCTGCGGGCTCTGGAAGTGGCTCAGCAGTCTTCTCTGGGACTGTGTATTCAGCTCATCTTTAGACAGGAAGTGAACAATCTCTTGGACACACCTGGAGTAACCCTGATTGACAGGTGCTGAGCTGGAGGAGGAGCTCACTGGCTGGTTCTGTTGCTGTTGTCTCAGGAAGCAAACTGTCATCTCCAGGATGTCGGCTTTGTCCAGCTTGGAGTCGGGCTGCTGGTTGAGGATCTCTGGAACCAGGAGAGACTTGAGCTGCTCAATGCTGTTGTTGATACGATCTCTGCGTAACTTCTCCACCACTGGCTTTCTTAGCTGCAAGAAGAGACGAGGAGAGGCATTAATAACCTTATTCTGGTGTATGACATTATTGAAACAAATAAGCAATCAATCAATGCAATTGAATAAATGTCATTGAATTTGAATCTTCAATTTACCTTGTTTGTCAGAGTCAGGTGCTCCTTAGAGTAGATCATATCTGAAGTGATTGTAGGTGCCATGGCTGGATCTCTGTGCTGTAGAGGTCTCAGTGTTGAGAGAATCTGATCTCTACTGGCTTCATCTCTCCTATATATAGTCCAAAATCTGCATATGAATGTGTGGGTCTTGGGCTTGTTGGAGTTTCTCACAGTCTTTAGCCAATGGGTGAGCTTGGGAGGACAATGGGGAGTGTGGAGCTGCCACATGCTCAGTGTTCTTATTGCTGGGGGACAATGGTCACGTCTCAGGGGAACAGGTGGAGGGGTGGGAGGTGATGGAGAGAGACTCACAGAGCGCTGTGTGAATCTGGGAAAGTGGTGACCCACAGATCTGCTGCCTGATGTTGGGATCAATGACACTGACAGAGCACACGCTCATCATTACAACTTACACGTGTGAGACGGACACAGATTCTCGAATAAAACGAACAGTGCTATTAATCCCCACCTATAAGGACATTGTTGAATGTAGTATTCTGTATCCACGCTTCATCACTGATTTAGGCATATTTTATTCTTTCACCATTTATATTAACTCTGATATTAATGAATGACTCTGTAATATTGTTTTACATTGCACATACCGGTAGTTATATTTAACAATATGATGATATATGACAATGTGTCACCATTTTCATTGCTGTTTAATTTCATGCATGTTTGTCTTTTCAGTTAGTCAGAATGTTTTGGAATATATACGATTTTAGTCAACATTAACACGTGAGTGGAAAATGAATATCTTTGTTTTCAGTATTTTAGAGGTAATCCATATCAATAGCAAGGGGTCTCTTAACTCAGTAGTAGAAGTTATATGGTCAAGCATTCTGGAGTTCAAATGTAGCAGATGTGTCCTCTGTCTTGAGTCTACTGGTCAGTGTGAGTAGAGAGCTGATCTGAGTTTCCCACACTGAGTCCTGTGTGCTGTGATCAATGCACTACAAAAGCTGCTCAGTGGACCATTAGTGACGACTGTTGGCTCTGTGTTGTACTATAGACAGAGGCTGACATCACAGACCTTCTGGGTTTTGGAGGGAAAGATCAGCCCTGGCAAGACTATACTAACAAGACACACCTTTATAAATACAAATTCATCCTATATTGGCATAGAACACATGATTATGAGAACTCTTTGAAAATTATTGTCTGTGATTTATTTCATTATAAATCAGGGTTATCTTTTGTATGCCTAACTGGAATTGAGAGCTGTTCGCTGTTTATCACACAAACAACTGACCTACATGAATGTACTGAATAAAACTCTGTCCATCATCAAGATAGAAAAAGCCTATCATAACTTGGGTATTTAATAATTATTGAATTTCCCTCACACGAAAGTGTAAGAAATAACCTCAAATACCCCCTCCCACCCATTCTATCCACTGAACAATAGAAGTGTGCATATTACCCATAGAGACTCACAGGTGCTGGTGGGACTGATGATCCTGATGACACTAAACTGTGAATCTTCTCTTCAGAGCTTTCCCACACTTTGCCCATTGAGAGAGTTTCCACTAAACAATAGAAGTGTGCCTTGTTGAATGCTAATTAATCTCTACACAAGCAGTTCCTATCAAGCCGTTGGGGTTGAAGCTCATTACAAAAATATTTATCTTAAGCAACAGATAAATACTAATTGTTACCGAGAATCAATTGAAGCTCTATGTGTTTGTGCACACAAACAAATAGCATGTTTTCAACCATGCCCCACAAACAAACAGAATAAAAAATGCATTAATTGCATTAATCTTGAAGAAGATGCAAGTACTGCCTAAAAGTGCAATAAAAATGTAAGTACAAAAAAAATGATATCTTTAACTTTTATTAGAAACATATGTTTTAGCAGATTTCTAATTTCAAGACCCAAATACTGAACATTAAATGTTGTGGGATTATCAGAAATATATTGATTAAATTCCCCATAGAGACCCAGATCCCCGCTCTAACCTCTGACAGTCCAGGTAGAGATCCCAGTCTAATTGTCCCAAAGGGGCTCTGTGAGTGAGTTCTCCTCGGTTTCCCACACTCTCTCTCCATTCACTGCTTTCAATAGAGGAACAATAGAAGTGTGTCTTATTACACATCACATTAGCTATTGAGTTTGAGGGGCACAGCTGCCCTAAACGTTTAAAGCACTGAAATGACAGTACTAGTTTTGGCCCAACACCTGGAATCACTGATATATTATGACCAAACTAAAATAATTTAATACATTCTGAAACACTGAAAATACATTTATTTAAAACAGGTGCCTCAGTAAAAAAAACATCCGTCATGCCTCCAAAGGAACTCAGATTGATGATCACTTATCTCTCTATGGTTCATCACACCTTTACTCCATCAAGATATAATAATAAAATATATAATATGAATGTTATGTTTTACATAAAAACAATTACTGTAAAATAATAATGTATGACTTGAAATGTCTCTTAACATTTATCTTACTCTGTAGATTTTGTTTGAAGCACCCAGATGTACAAATGAATATATTAATTAAGTTCAGTGTTGCATTCTAATGCAGTCAATATCATTCTGTATAGTCTTGGGACATAATTTGTTTTGTTTTTGCATCAGCCACTTAATCTATGTGGAATTTCATAAATACGTCATTTAACCATGTAATGTTGTTGGCAGACAAGAATATTTAATTTGATGATTTGTGTATTTATTCAGACTGTCTTAATGAGTCACATCATTTAATACCTTAATTTAAGGTAAATATTTCAAGAGAAATAAAGTGATTAAACATAACAGCAAGAACTTGAACAAATCTCCAAGACATAATACTCTATCAGAGTATATACAGTGAGGGAAAAAGTATTTGATCCCCTGCTGATTTTGTACGTTTGCCCACTGACAAAGAAATGATCAGTCTATAATTTTAATGGTAGGTTTATTTGAACAGTGAGAGAACCAGAAAAACGCATGTCAAAAATGTTATAAATTGATTTGCATTTTAATGAGGGAAATAAGTATTTGACCCCTCTGCAAAACATGACTTAGTACTTGGTGGCAAAACCCTTGTTGGCAATCACAGAGGTCAGACGTTTCTTGTAGTTGGCCACCAGGTTTGCACACATCTCAGGAGGGTTTTTGTCCCACTCCTCTTTGCAGATCTTCTCCAAGTCATTAAGGTTATGAGGCTGACGTTTGGCAACTCGAACCTTCAGCTCCCTCCACAGATGTTCTATGGGATTAAGGTCTGGAGACTGGCTAGGCCACTCCAGGACCTTAATGTGCTTCTTCTTGAGCCAATCCTTTGTTGCCTTGGCCGTGCGTTTTGGGTCATTGTCATGCTGGAATACCCATCCACGACCCATTTTCAATGCCCTGGCTAGTGGAGGTTCTCACCCAAGATTTGACGGTACATGGCCCCTTAGCAGAAAAACACCCCCAAAGCATAATGTTTCCACCTCCATGTTTGAAGGTGGGGATGGTGTTCTTGGGGTCATAGGCAGCATTCCTCCTCCTCCAAACACAAGTCTGATCTTAAAACGGATCAAATATTGCTAATCACAGAGTGATGATAACAGGTATAATACCCAGTTTGGGTAAATAATCCTCCTGGAGGAACATTGATGCTGTAGCTCAAGTTGATTAATATCAAATATATAACTGATACATGCTTCACAGAAGATGCTCAATACAATGTCAATATGACTATATCACTACACAAATGTAGTGGGGAAAAAAAATAACTCTCAAATGTTGACCTTAAAAACAGATCAGTCATAGACAATCACAAACAGATTGATGATATAACACCCACTTTGGTTTAAAGGTTCTGATGAAGGACAATTCAACTTATTGTTGATCATGAATACAAACACATGATCAATATAATCAACCTATTTCACAAAACATAAAGGTTATCATGATTTAAATTAACACTACAAAAATGTAGCATTCATCAATCAGATTGTTTTCTTGGAACAACTTTTTAATTTCAGTACAACTGAAATGAAATGTCTCAATCACACCAAACTTTTAAAAACTCCTGCAGAAGCAGAAGAAGATCTCTTATTATTCTTATTACTGTCCATGAAATTAATCTTAGACCAACATGGTCCATTGTGTTTGTCTGATTGGAGCTCCAGTCTGTAGGACTCTACCAGGGCCTCCAGAGGGCGCAGTTGAATGGACTCTTCTCTTTGCTGATGCTCTGCTGGGCTGGGGAGCTCAGGTCACCCTCCCTCCTGTTCTTATCAGAGGATGGCTGCAGACTCTGGAAGTGGCTCAGTAGTCTTCTCTGGGACTGTGTCTTCACCTCAACCTTCGACAGGAAGTGAACAATCTCTTGGACACACCTGGAGTAACCCTGATTGACAGGTGCTGAGCAGGAGGAGGAGCTCACTGGCTGGTTCTGTTGCTGTCGTCTCAGGAAGCAAACTGTCATCTCCAGGATGTCGGCTTTGTCCAGCTTGGAGTCGGGCTGCTGGTTGAGGATCTCTGGAACCAGGAGAGACTTGAGCTGCTCAATGCTGTTGTTGATACGATCTCTGCGAAACTTCTCCACCACTGGCTTTCTTAGCTGCAAGAAGAGACGAGGAGAGGCATTAATAACCTTATTCTGGAATACGGAATTACTGAAGCAAATAAACAATTAATTAATCAAATTGAATAAATGTCATTGAATCTGAATCTTCAGTTCACCTTGTTGATCAGAGTCAATTTCTCCTTAGAGTAGATCATAGCTGAAGTGATTGCAGGTGCCATGGCTGGATCTCTGTGCTGTAAAGGTCTCTGTATAGAGAGTATCTGATTTCTGCTGGCTTCATCTCTCCTATATATATTCCCACATTTGCATATCAATGTGTGGGTCTTGGGCTTGTTGGAGTTTCTCACAGTCTGTAGCCAATGGGTGAGCTTGGGAGGACAATGGGGAGTGTGGAGCTGCCACATGCTCAGTGTTCTTATTGCTGGGGGACAATGGTCACGTCTCAGGGGAACAGTTGGAGGAGCACACGCTCAACATTACAATTTACACGTGTGAGATGGACCCAGATTCTCTACATGAGAATGTTGTGACACTTAATCCCTTTTGATTGTTGCATTGCTTAGTGAATTAACGCTTCAGTATTATTTGACAGTAAAATCTTTTAATATATATTTTTTATATAACATTCTAGCTATAATAAACAGAGACTTTAAGAACATTGTCACCTTTGAAACCTAATATTGTATAGTAGTAAGCAAACTGACATAATACAGTCCTGTAATCCAGAGATGGGGGGAGGTGATCATGGAGTGCCGTCCCCATGCGTCCCCTAGGGCCTCTATCTCCTGGCGGAGAGGGGGAGAGTTTCTGAAGGACAGCAAGAGGTACAGTAACAGTCGTAGTAACCGTACGCATCACTGCTCATGCCATTGATGGCACGTGTAAAAGGGCCCTTCTCCTGGGGCCGAGCTAGTCTCTAGGACTCAACGCTATGTCTCTACTTAAGGGGACTGACGTTGCTGTGGTGAGGGGGCTTTTTGCTAACACCCTCTCTTTTGCTTGAAGTTCAATAGAGATGTCAAATACCTTGCCTTTATCGCTCTCTGTATGTCTCTGCATTCAGGGTTGTTCTGTACAACACCATGACAGTTATGGTAGGGGCTTTATGTTGATCATGACCTTGGTCTTTCAATGTTGTATTCAGCAGTGGCTATAGATGCTTCCTTGTAACCGCTCATGCAAGCCTCACAGCTACACAGGTTCACAGCTCACAAGTTAATTTGAGGTACTGGTCATAGCCCCAGAAGGGTTGTGTGGACAGTGTCACTGCTGCATGGCCCTGCAGCTGAAGATACGCTAACCTAATGTCAATTACTGTACTGTATGTGGCCCTGCAGTCGTCTGGGAGAAAGGCTCCGCCAAGAGTACGCTGTGGACCAATGGCTGGAGCAGGCCTCTACAGCCCTGTTCCTGGAGAGCTACCGTCCTGTAGGTTTTCGCTCCAACCCTAATCTAGCGCACCTGATTGTAGGAATTAGCTGGTTGATAAGCTGAGCCAGGTTAGTTGCAACTGGGTTTGAAGTGAGGACCTGCAGGAGGGTAGCTCTCCAGGAACAGGGTTGGAGAGGCCTGGGCTGGAGAATAATACACTGAGTATACAAAACATCAAGAACACCTGCTCTTTCCATGACAAAGACTGACCAGGTGAATTCAGGTGAAAGCTATGATCCCTTAATTGATTTCACTTGTTCAATCCACTTCAATCAGTGTAGATGAAGGGGAGGTGTGACACTCTGGCTCCGGGACTTTTGTATTTGAGCCAGGGTGTATTTTGTTTTGTTGGGATTTGGGTGTATTTCTATGTTTGCAGTTCTGTGGGGTTCTTTTCTAGGTTTGGTCAATGACTCCCAATCGGAGGTAACGAGTGTCAGCTGTCGGCTCGTTATCTCTGATTGGGAGCCATATTTATTCTGTATGTTTTCCTGTGGGAATTGTGGGTTTTTGTTCCAGGTTCAGTATTTTGTCACTGTTGGACTTCACTATCGTTTTTTGTTTTGTAGTTACGTGCTTTCTTTATTAAAGTCATCATGTTCACTCAACGCGCTGCGTATTGGTCTGCTCCCTTTATAGACGATCGTGACAGAAAAACCCACCGTAAAAGGACCAAGCAGCGTGTCAAGCGGCAACAGGACCTACCTACACAGGATTTATGGACGCCTATCAAGGATTCATGGACTTGGGAGGAGATACTGGATGGAAAGGGTCCTTGGGCACAACCGGGAGAATATCGCCGCCCTCGTGAAGAGCTGGAGGCAGCTAAAGCCGAGAGGAGGTGGTATGAGGAGGCAGCACGGAGTCGAGGCTGGAAGCCCGTGGGTACTACCCAAACATTTCTTGGGGGGGGGCTTAAAGGGAGTGTGGCGAAGTCAGGTAGGAGACCTGCGCCTACTCCCTGGACTTACCGTGGAGAGCGAGAGTACGGGCAGACACCGTGTTACGCAGTAGAGCGCATGGTGTCTCCTGTACGCAGGCATAGCCCGGTTCGGTACATTCCAGCTCCACGTATCGGCCGGGCTAGATTGAGCGTTGAGCCGGATGTCATGAAGCCGGCCCAACGCATCAGGCCACCAGTGCGTCTCCTCGGGCCGGCTTACATGGCACCAGCCTTACGCATGGTGTCCCCGGTTCGCCTACATAGCCCGGTGCGGGTTATTCCTCCTTCCCGTACTGGTCGGGCGACGGGGAGTATACAACCAGGTAAGGTTGGGCAGGCTCAGTGCTCAAGGGAGCCAGTACGCCTGCACGGTCCGGTATTTCCGGCGCCACCTCCCCGCTCCAGCCCAGTACCACCAGTGCCTACACCACGCACCAAGCCTCCTGTGTGTCCCCAGAGTCCTGTGCGTCCTGTTGCTGCTCCCCGCACTAGCCCTGAGATGCGTGTCCTCAGCCCGGGACCACCAGTTCCGGCACCACGCACTAGGCCTTATGTGCGTCCCCAGGGTCCAGCATGCCCTGTTGCTACTCCCCGCACTAGCCCTGAGATGCGTGTCCTCAGCCCGGGACCACCAGTTCCGGCACCACGCACCAGGCCTATAGTGCGTCTCGGCCGGCCAGAGTCGGCCGTCTGCCCAACGGCGCCTGAACTGCCCGTCTGCCCAACGGCGCCTGAACTGCCCGTCTGCCCAACGGCGCTTGAACTGCCCGTCTGCCCAACGGCGCCTGAACTGCCTGTCTGCCCAACGCCGTCTGAACTGTCCGTCTGCCAAGCGCTGCATGAAACTGCCCGTCTGTACTGAGCCTGCAAAGCCGCCCGTCTGCCATGAGCCTTCAGAGCCGTCCGCCAGACCGGAGCCGCTAAAGCCTTCCGCCAGACAGGAGCCGCTAGAGCCTTCCGCCAGACAGGATCAGCCAGAGCCTTCCGCCAGACAGGATCGGCCAGAGCCTTCCGCCAGACAGGATCAGCCAGAGCCTTCCGCCAGACAGGATCAGCCAGAGCCTTCCGCCAGACAGGATCAGCCAGAGCCTTCGGCCAGACAGGATCAGCCAGATCCGTCGGCCAGCCATGAGCAGCCAGATCCGTCGGCCAGCCATGAGCAGCCAGATCCGTCAGCCAGCCATGAGCAGCCAGATCCGTCAGCCAGCCATGAGCAGCCAGATCCTTCAGCCAGCCATGAGCAGCCAGATCCGTCAGCCTGCCATGAGCAGCCAGATCCGTCAGCCAGCCATGAGCAGCCAGATCCGTCAGCCAGCCATGAGCAGCCAGATCCTTCAGCCAGCCATGAGCCGTCCAGCCAGGATCCGCCAGAGCCGTCCAGCCAGGATCCGCCAGAGCCAGCCAGCCAGGATCCGCCATTGAGTCCGGTGCTGTCCCTTAGCCCGGTGCTGCCCCTTATCCTGGTGCTGCCCCTTAGTCCGGTACTGCCCCTTAGTCCGGTGCTGCCTTTTAGTCCGGTGCCGCCCCTTAATCCAGTGGGGTTTAGTTGGGGGGTGGTCATGTGGAGGAGGCTACGGAAGCGGATAGTGACTAAGGTGGGGTGGGGACCACGACCAGGGCCAGAACCGCCACCGTGGACAGACGCCCACCCAGACCCTCCCCTAGACTGTATGCTGGTGCGCCCGGAGTTCGCACCTTTAGGGGGGGGTACTGTGACACTCTGGCTCCGGGACTTTTGTATTTGAGCCAGGGTGTATTTTGTTTTGTTGGGATTTGGGTGTATTTCTATGTTTGCAGTTCTGTGGGGTTCTTTTCTAGGTTTGGTCAATGACTCCCAATCGGAGGTAACGAGTGTCAGCTGTCGGCTCGTTATCTCTGATTGGGAGCCATATTTATTCTGTATGTTTTCCTGTGGGAATTGTGGGTTTTTGTTCCAGGTTCAGTATTTTGTCACTGTTGGACTTCACTATCGTCTTTTGTTTTGTAGTTACGTGCTTTCTTTATTAAAGTCATCATGTTCACTCAACGCGCTGCGTATTGGTCTGCTCCCTTTATAGACGATCGTGACAGGAGGAGACAGATTAAATAAGGATTTTCAAGCCTGTGTATGTGTGCCATTCAGAGGGTGAATGGGCAAGACAAAATATTTTAAGTGCCTTTGAACGGGGTATGGTAGTAGGTGCCAGGCACACCGGTTTGTGTCAAGAACTGCAACGCTGCTGGATTTTTCACGCTCAACAGTTTCCCGTGTGTATCAAGAATGGTTCACCACCCAAAGGACACACAGCCAACTTGACACAACTGTGGGAAGTGTAGTATCGAGTAAATGTTGCTAGTCATTGCTGATAAACAAAGGAGTCCGCTCATACTGAACCTTGATCATAAGTTTATTCATATCACAAGCTTTCAGCATAAGTTTTACAGGTGTCATGCCCACCCGGAGAGCGACGTCCCAGATTGCAATGGTCGCTCTAACCTCTTCTTCGCTTTTTACCCAATATATATAATCTTCCCAAGATAGGGGTGGCTCCCTCTACTGTCCAATCCCCTGTCTACAACACACAGACTTCTCTGTCCTATCCGGGGTGTCACATTAAAACCATTCCCTCTGACACTAAAATAAACGTCCTCTCCGGTTCCACTTAAAAACATTAACAACGTCATAATCTTCATATACGACAGAAGCATTGGAATCAACATGGGCCAGCATCCCTGTGGAACGCTTTCGACAACTTGTAGAGTCCATGCCCCGACGAATTGAGGCTGTTCCGGGGGCAACTCAATATTAGGAAGGTGTTTTTAATGTTTGGTATACTCAGTGTATGTCCAGTATACTACCGCCTACCTTATGAGTCACCCATGTTATGATTTACTCTCTAATCTCAGTCAGCCGCTATACAGTGGCTTCTGTATGTGTGTGTGTTTGTTCGTTTGTGTGTTCGTTTGTGTGTGCGCGTGTGTGTGTGAGTGAGGGTGAGTGGGTGTGAGTTAGTGGATGAGAGAAGGAGAGGGGGAAAAGGTGAGAGCTTA